CACTAAAATTGCCTGCCTGCTCCCGTGACATGGCCTCACCGAATTTGGGGGGAAACCCGTTTCGCACTCGAAATCGTCTATACGTCAAATACCATCAGAAAGATTAAGATTTGCTCTTTCTCACCCAACAAATTTCCTGTTGGTGCGAAATCTGCATCAAGGTGAAAATACACGGGGAAATTGCACTAAAATTGCCTAATTTCAGGTCATGATATCAAAAGGAGAAAGGTACATTCTCGGCTCAAAAATTCATGGGGAGCAAATAAAGAAGTCTAAATATTATAAATCAGTTACAATAAGGAAGTTATTTAATTGTATAATCCAGCGGTAAGCTTTCTTGTGAGGCGTGTCGACGCCCGGAGCCGTGGAACGGACTACTTTCTCTCGCGGAAGGAAAAGAGAAACGCATAGAACTCTCGACGTGGCTTTCCGGCTGAATAAATACCCGATTTTGACTCTATTTGTGACATTACGGCGTCATAAGGAATGTGGAATGGAGCCTTCTGATTGGTCAACGTCACCTGGCTATATAATAATACACTCTAATGGATGTTATCATTTGTATGAGCTTTGCAGTATTTGTCTATCAATACTGCATCAAAATTTGGATAATTCCACAGAATCTAGAGGGCTGCCAGAGACCAAACCCTGAAATCCATCTTTAAAGCACACTGTCTTTGTGAGTCTTAGTCCTTCAGTAGAAGGGTATTACTGGGCTAAACCATGGATTTTGACAAAGTAAACATCTCACATCCACTGACTTCTCAGTTTTGACATTCAATCTGGCTTCTAATTCTTCCAGCATCAGGAAAATGAAGCCTTAAGCCTTGTATAAGGGTAACTCAAGTTCACAATTCTAGTCAACAATTTTACAACTTTCTTACATTGCACTTCACATTTCCTTCCTATGACCACACCAATTTAATTTGTTGGTTTTTCGGATTCGCCTCTTCATTTTTTTCTGATTTGCAAAAAAAAAAGATTCTGGTTCTGAATCAACCCACATATGCTTATATTTTGCCCCCAACAGTTGAAGAAAGTCCTTTTCTTCCTAGTTGTTACAGTGGTTTGATTAAAAGTTCACAATTCATTGTTGACTTCATGACTCCTATCGTAGCATTTGGGGCTATAATAGGATGCCTAGAACCATTTCTATTTTTTGCCCTGTCACTTCATATTTTTTCTGAAAAAAATCCGGGACCCAACAAATTAAATTGGTGTGGCCTGTAACTAAAAGCATATTAAATATATGTTACAAACTCACCATTGTGGAAAATTACATTAAATGAGTCAGACAGCAGCTGGCTGTATTATATATATATAATCATTGGACAACTAAATACCAGATAGTGACCCTAGCAGCTGCAAAGTGTCATGAAAATGCCAGGCAACTGTATGAACCATTCGCATGAAACCAAGCCTAGGATTTTGTATGTAAGCCAGACTGATAACTTTCAACAAAGCAATATTGTTTCCAGCCAGATGCCCTTGCCCAGGAATTCTAGATAAGCTTTTTCCAACTGGCCTAATATTTTTCTTGAGTTCAGTTACTCAGTGACTCTTCAACTCACAAATCTAAAATGTGTCGTAATTAAGTAATTAGTAATAAATGTAGGGATTCGAACAACAGACTTGCAAGCCTGTGAGGTTTATCTCTGCAAAAGAGCTTTAATATTGCTTTTAATGTTTACGGAAGGAAAACGTATTGTTTTTGCTCTGTTTCCTCTTCTTCTTCTCCAAACCAATAAGGTCAATGACCTGAACCAGATGTCTGTCACCATGCATGGTAACTAGTGATGGGTTACATCATGTTGCAATTTTATAGCAGGAGGGATTTAGACTCCTGTCTGACCATATATATGAATGTGTTTGAGTAACAGAGCAGACCATATGCAAAGGTAAAAATTTTGCATTTGCTTTGCAAATGTTACGTTTCTACTTGAAATGGTTACCATATTTCAAGTGCTATGAACAAATTCAGTGTAGTAAAGACTAAGTGAAGATGTTTAACTTACCTTCATCTCTGGAGATGTTGGGTTTGTACCAGTAAGATGAGGTGTCCTTTACGAACATGGGGGTGCCTGATCGGAACACCTCCACTCCAGAATCTACAGGGAAGAACCACACACAGGTTACTACTAAAGATCTTTACATAGAAGAGTGACAGGCCAGTAAAAACTGACAGAACATCAACCCTTCCCAACCATTTCTTTTTCATTTTGATATTCCAACATGTAATCACAAGACATGGTGACGGCACACTCAATCTTTTTTCAACTTATATCAATGCCGCCACCAACACAGGGGACAATACAATACTCAATACATTTGTATGTGATTGATGTATATTAACAATCATGGAACAATCATGACGAAAAAAGGTTACTGGAAGGACCCCGGGCAGATTTTTACCCAGGTACCACCCAGAAAACAATGGACTCATCTTGGGGCTTATTTCTGCAGTTTTAAATGTCTAAAGTATGAAATTCTGGTTCAAAAGTCCTAATGTGAAGCAGTACGTGTCAATACAAATTGCCTTATTCCGAATACTTCCAGTTTTGCCACCATGAAACTGCATTGGGGGTTGGTGGAAAAAATGGTCCAGTCTGGACTAGTTAGGGGTGGTAGAAAAAGCGGTCCAGAGGGGGTGGAAAAACCGGTCCGACCAAACTGTGCCCCCTAGCAGAACGCGGGAGAAATCCCATTGCCTTTAAGTACATTACAGTTTACTGACCGGCCAGTGATGTCATGCTGGACCTCTGTGACTGGAAGTACACGCTGGCCGGACTGCTGCGGCCCGAGGCCGGGCCCTGCGAGCCGTTGGCCATGCTGCCTGCGGGCAGGGTCCCCAGGCTACTGGCCGGAGACGGCATGCTCCTCTCACTGCTGAAAACAACAGACAAATACAGGGTTACTTATGGGGGAAACCAACTCCTATCTTACTGTTCACTGGAATACAGTAAACCAGTATACTTATCTTGAAAGTTCATCTGTGTTGGTATATAGAAGTCATTATGCAGCAAGTTTAAACTGTAATTTCCAACACAAGAAATTGGGGGATTAAAGAGGCCATCTACATCTGGGCATTACAACCATCCCTCAACATAGGCGGGGGCGCCACAGACTTTCTGCAACCTATGATCCACTGCTCACGGAGTCATGTGTGTTACCTGCGTGACTTTACGGAAGCGGTGGATTGCTCATTCCTTGACAAAGACTGGAGTTGTACAGTCGAAAATTTGGGTGAGTCCAATTTCTTGTGTTGGAAATTGCAGTTCAAACTTGCTTCATAAAACCAGTATACTGACTGTAATTATGAAATATTAGAGTTTACTTATAAGTTAGTTGTTAGTTCATCTTTTACATAAAACCATATTGTTCACATACATAATTAAAATCAGCTGTTAAAGCTTTATATGCAGCCATAAGCTTTCTCGAAAAGTATACCTAAGGCCACACCAATTTAATTTCTTGGTTAACGGATTTTTCTAGAAAAATAATGGAGCGGGCGGGCGAAAAAAAAAATAAAAATAAAAACAGGCCTAGGCATCGATCCTATTATGGCCCAAAATGGTACGATAGGAGCCATGAAGTCAACACACCAGGCTGGTTCAAAATTTAAACAATGAATTTTGAACTTTTAATGATACCACTGCAATGAAAGATGGAATGACTGTAACAAGTAGTAAGAAAAGGACTGTTTTCAACTGTTCAGGGCAAAATATGACCATTTTGCAGTTGATTCTGAATTTTTATTTTTATTTGCAAATCAGAAAAAAATGAAGCGGCGAATCCGTTAACCAAGAAATTAAATTGGTGTGGCCTTATCAGGGCTTAAAATCCTTTTTTTTACATACCGGCTATGTTGCAGTTAACATCAGAAATTACCCGCACTATACAAGTTTTACCTGGACCACTCAGAATTTAGGTTATACATGTATTAAGATCATATTAAGAACTGTTCAGACTTACAACACAGTAACAGTGTTTTTATACTGTACTATTTACACTGTACTATTTACACTTTTATCTGGTAGTAAAACTATAGCTAAAAGTACAATGTATATTCTTCTTAACTTATTTTAACACAGGAAATCAGTCTTGTTTTTACTCTTTATGTCAATGGTTGAAATAGGACTTGTGGGATGGGCCAATGGCAAAATAGTTAGCTGCATGGGGCACTCACTGGTCAAAAGAATTTTTCAAACTACAAAGACCATTCATTTTGAAGGGAAAATAGCAAGTCAGAGGCAATAGCATTAGGACTCGAGTGTTAGTAAAAAAGGGTGAGAAGCAACTAAGAAAGGGTTTAGTAAGACCTTGTGCTGGCAGTGGAGATAGTTCTGTAGCGTGGAAGGAAGCTTCTCTCCTGGGGGGGAGGGGGGTGGTGGGTGAGTTGAGGAGGGGGATGGTCCAGAGATGGTTGGTAAGGCGGCCGTTGTTGTGATTGAGTCGCCTGTCTTTCTCTGCAAGTACAGGAGGTAGATTTTCATCATAAGCAGGGCCATTTCGCAGAGAAAGAAAGAGATCGAGGAACGATACCTCATAGACCAACCAGGATGCACACACAGCATAGTTTCCCTCACCAAAATACTTGTAACAGTCATTGCATCCACACTTTCACACAGCACGGCACATGTACATGTACATGTACTTGTACACGTACTGACAATCCCACAAAACCAAACAATACACTCAACAGTCTGGTTTACACTTTAGCTAGCATGACAATGGCATAAATATGCTTGATACAACTCTTACTGTGATACTTTATTCTACATGTAAAGTGAATTGTCTCAATAGTGCTCTTTAATGCATAAAGCTGCTTAGTAAGAAACTTGTCTATTTCCCATTGACATCAGCTATAAAGCAGTGTTGTTTTAACATGTCGTCATGCATAATCGTTTGTCTTAGGACATGCAACAGTCCTCTGTGCAACTGTACCGGTGTACACGTAGCATCAAAACAGCAGTTTTGACAGAAACTATAAAATGACAAAATATGCGCAATGCATTTCTGTGCAAGCAATGATTGTTGCAAAGTGATCAATATATACATGTATTGATAAAATGTGAACATGCTCCCATATTCAAAGTATCTCTACAGTTAATAAAAAAATACATAAATGCATAAAATGTACTTGAAGAAAGTACAAGTCATGTACATGTATATCCATGACTAAGATCTATAATAGATGCTTTTCTCAATGGAAAAGTATGGGCCACAAACAGACACATACACATGTATGACAAGAATTTAAAAATGAGCATTCAGAATGGACTAGTATGTAGTAAGAACAGAGGTGGGAAGCAAGAAGTAAGAATGTCAGAAGAGCAAGCCTAGAGGAAAGAGAAGCAAGCCAAGACCTGGTAGTTTGAAGGCGGGTGGAAAAGCTCGCTTCTTTTGAAGTTTCAGAAATAGCAGGGCGGGAGGGGGGCGTATGCAGACTGATGTAATGTACTGGTTGGGATTTGGGTCGTGATGCCCGGTCAGGACGCATCCCTTCACTGAAAGATGAAAGTTTTAAAAAAAACGTCTCAGAGTTTGTTACAAAGTCAGAAGAAAGGGAGAAAATGTTGCATTAAAAATTATGGAATGAGCTTGATAGGAAATTGGTTGAGAAAGATGAAAAGGGAGTTGGCTTGAACTCAAAGGAAAAAAAAACATGAAAGGAAAAACTGACAAAAAGGGAGGAAAATGAAAAATTTGAGAGCCAGGCTTCATGATTTAATTGCAGTTGAGGGTATAGCAGGTGGGATGGCAGGAAAAAGCATGCATTAGATACGCAGAAACAAACCTAATGGTAGCTCACATAAACATTTACTCTAGTCTACATTACATAGTTTGCTGTTTAATCTTGATGTGGACTCACAAAGTGCTTTTAGATCTCAACACACACACAACTCTGACACAACATACACACATCCCCACACAACTTCATTCAAACACTTAGATACCCTGCCTTTATAAAACATAACAAAGCAATAGTTAGTTACGGACATAAAATGTACAAGGTAACAGACACAATTTGTAAAAAGCAATGGAATGAAAGCCTGGAATGAAGAGCAACATTTGGTTAGAAACATATCACATTTCATACATGTAATACCATTGACAAATCTCTGAAACAGAAATGGTATATATACAGTCAGTGAGGTTATACATCACAAATATCCAATACATACAATGTATGTAAAAACATGAACATGACAACACATGAAACTGTTAACACTGTATCAGCATGATGTATTTGTGGTATAGACATACAATAGAACAGGTGAATTCTGACAGGTGCTGCAACAGGTGTGTGCCAGCTGCAGGTGCAATGGAAACAGCTGTAAGTAAAAACATGATGAACATGACAACACATGAAACTGTTAACACTGTATCAGCATGGTGTATTTCTGGTATAGACATACATAGAACAGGTGAATTCTGACAGGTGCTGCAACATGTGTGTGCCAGCTGCAGGTGCAATGGAAACAGCTGTAAAGATGTCGAGTACAATCTTCTTGCTGGTGAAACAGGAAAACGCTGTACAGAAGACAAAGAAAAGAGAACCTGCTAGGAGAGGAGTTTGGGAGGTGGACAGGGAACCTGGCTTCCTGGGAAGGTTCCGAGCGGGCAGGGTGGGAGGGGGGCAGCTGTAGCGTGGCGTAGCGAGCTTGCTGCGACTGCAGCTGTTGGCTGAACTCGTCCAGAAACATGTAGTGACTTTCACCACTTCCGCAAAGAATCCAAAACAGTTGGGAAAGTTAGAGACAGTAAATCTATTGTTATGAAAGCAGAACATATAAGGATTCTGGTTAGAGAAGAGACAAAAGCTAGGATAGTGATATTAAACCTTTTAGAAGAAGATAGAAAGTTGGGCGAGCTTCTAGTAGAAGAGGTGGAGGGAGTCCGGGATGGAGTGAGGGGTTGGACAGCTGGGAAGCCAGGGGGGATAGAATGGAGCCCAATGTCTTCCACAAACACCTCTGTGTCACTGTAAGTTAGAGAGCGGAAACAGTTCAAATTGTTAGTTAAAAGAGACGAAAGAAAACAGAGAAGCAGATAAGAGAGAGACAAATATTTCAAGATGATAAGGCTACACCGAGTTAATTTTATGGATGACATCCTCTGAAGACCCCAAACTAGTGCGTGTGGGTGAATAAAAAAAATTCTGACCAAAAAGAAAAATGCCACTAAACCACAGGAATACAAAGCTACTACTAGTATTTTGAATTTGTGGCAGTACTTAGCGATGTATACGACAAGCTGGCACATCCTGGCTTTCAGCGGAATTTATGAATCGGCACTGTACATTTTGTACGTATGTACTGAGTCGTGGAACTTCGGTAGCCTGGGTGCTATATCCTCCAGAGTTACCATCGGCTCCGTATTGTCACTAACTACCATGGACTACCCAGGCCTAGAGCCAGGCCAGAGCCTTGGAGGATGTGATATCTTTTTTTAGAGAACAGGAGAAAATCAATGCACACGTGGATGTCATCCATAAAATTAAGTCGGTGTGGCCTAATAACAGCACCTCAAAAGTTAAAGTTAGGATTGTTTATTTAGGATTAAGAAGAGATAGTATAGTTGACCTTGGTAGAGCTATAACGTCAAACGGTGGGGAGGGCGTCCTGTCCTCCAGGGGTGGTGACACCTGTCTCCGGGACTGGGGAGGGGTCAACGCCCTCTGGTAACCCCTGGGAGGGGAGAGACTTCTCTCTCTGGTCGGGGAGACCACGGGTTGGTGGAGGGGCAGGGTGAGGTTGTGGGGTTTATAATGGGGATTCTGGGAGTGGGGTGGGGGGCTGTTCAAGGTGTTAGCTGTCCTCTCCCTGTGAAAGTAAATCAATCAATATTATTGTTGATAAATATCTTAAAGAGGCGTGAAAATTTAATGTAGAAAATACACTTTATAACACATGTACATGGTCATGGTTAGTACAAGAAAAAAAGTTTCTTTGAAAGAGAATACTGTTAGGAAGAGAAGAGACAGAAGAGACGAGAGAAAAGAGAAAAGAAGAGAAGAGAGAAGAGGAGAGAAGAGAAGAGGAAAGAAGAGAGAAGAGAGAGGAGAACAGAAGAGAGAGAAGAGAAGAGAGAAGAGGAGAGAGAAAAGAGAAGAGAAGAGAGAAAAGAAGAGAGAGAAGAGAAGAGAGAGAAGAAAGAGAAGAAGAGAAGAGAGAGAAGAGAAGAGAGAGAAGAGAGAGAAAAGAGAAGAGAAGAGAAAAGAAACCTTGTGAAGGAAACAGTTTTGATCTGCTGTTCTTTAGGGAATGGTTTTGGTTCTTGGGACAGTGGAGGGTCCAAAGTGGAAAAACTTGGGTTACTAGTCTGGACCTGTGGTTGACTTGTACCAGCTACAGTTACTGTCCTGTTAAAATAGGTTAGAGAGAGAAGAGAAAAAAAGAGTGATTCATGCAAAAGAAATGAAAGAAGTAAATTTTAGTAATCTTAGAAGTAATATCCAAATGCATGACTCTGTCTTATAAGGTTTTGCGAAAAAAAGACAAAAAGAATCTACTTGAAAACTAGTAAGCTCCTCCTAAGATGCAAGGTGAGTCTTAGTGAAAAAATCCTGTGCAGATTACTATATTTTGTGACAATTACTATCTAAAGACACAGTAGACATATCTTTGCTAACGATTACTCTAGACAATATTATCTTTGCTTCTAAGAAAAAGACAAGGGTGACAGGTAGTAAGTTATATTTCCTGAAGAAAGATGAAGACGGAAAGATGAAGTGGAAGTAAAGAATCTGTTGACCTTGAATTTGAGGAGACTGTGGTGAGAAGAGGGGAGACAGCCCTCCGCTGGGGGGGAGGGGAGGGGTTGCTGAAGTCCCAGGGTTCAATGACCTCTGTTTGTGTGAGTAGTTAAAGTAGTCTGGGGAAGATGCATTTCTGTTCCTGATATATGGATGAAAAAGAACAGTTAAAGCATATAATAAAGACTTGAGGCTGGAATTATAAGATCATTTTCATTGAATAAAAGTACAGGCACAATACTGCAAAAATTCAATCAATACTGTTAAGCCATATCTATTTTCTGATGTACCAGAATGTTTGATTTCTTACAAATTTTAGAAGTACTGAAAGGAAAATGGGGATGACCTTGGAGGAGATAAAGGTCGTTGGGTTTCCCGCGTGGAAACATAGCTGTTCTCTATGATGACTGGAGATGTTTTCTTCCTGCATGCATGATGTGTTACCAAGAACCACATTAGATCATCTTCTTATTCATAATGCCATAGTTAGAAAGAAACAAAACTAGAAAGGCCGACATTTGCTTTTGGAGCAAATTCAGCATGGCTTCACCACATTTTACGACATGGCAAGGAAAGAAGGAGAATACAAGGGAAAACTGGAAATGCCAACATTTGCTTCGGAGCAAATGTAGAATATTTCACTCCATCTCCCTTCCCAAATAAACATAGTGGTGAAGCCATAAGAAAAGATTGACAGTAAAAGAGGAGGTTAGACCTTGGACGTGGTAGTTCATGGTGAACGGGAGAACGTCGAGTCTGTTGGAAATCGACCTCAGTGACCGACATGTCCGGTGGTGACCACACCTGCTGCCGCTGTGCCATGATAGGGTGGCTATGTTCACCCGGGAGCCTTTCTCTGAGAAATTGGAAGTTCGGGTTCAACAAATTCAATTTCTGTTACAAAGCTGTAAGAAAAGTTAAGCTTAATTGTGATCCTGTACTCTATTACCATGATGACAGAACCTGGTACCTTTATCAGTCACTCTAATTATCCATAATGAGAAAACCTGTAACTGCAAAATATTGGACTTCAAAGGAACAGAGCGACACACATATAAACCGAATACATCTTCCATGTGTAAGCTGTGGTATCAAGATGAACATTGTCTCCTTGTTCATTCCTTGTCTACAAACAACCTTGAATAATGAATTACATTTAGTATTTTACCCTCAAAAGATTGTTTTAAATCAACTCACTTCAACAGAAACACACAAGCACCCATGCAACACACTCATACACACATACGCCTGCACACACACACACACACACACACACACACACACATATGCGTGCACACACATACACAATCACACACAAGTACTTGTATGACTATTACAACTTTTTTACTTATGTGCTGTTTTTTACAACACAAACAGCACACAATCTTTACATTACCACCAAACAGCCATAATTAATTGGGTTAGTTTCAGAATAAAAACAGAAACAGAACAGAAGGAGACAAGAAGGACCTGGGAGGTGACCTAGTGTGGGGGGAAACACTTCTCTTCTGTTGTTCTTCTCCAGACAGTTGTTTGAAACCCAGACTGAGAATAGTAGGAGTCAGAGCTGGCTCATCTTCATCAATGTGCAGTGGTGCTCCCCTACAAACCACAGGGGTGTTAAACAGGTACACACAACATACAGGGCTCGAAATACTGGGTGTATGTGCACCCAAAATTGGAGCTGTGCACCCAATTTTTTTCTGTGGGTGCACTGGTGCACCCAAATATTTTTGGAGGTATTTTTGTGCATAGTAAATGTATAATAGTATGCAGGATATTGTTGGCATCTTAGTGTAAGAAAATAATAAAATCTAAAAGTACTTGTTTAAGATTTTGAAGTTAGCTCCCATTTAAGATTCAAGCTTAGAGGAGGAGCAGTAAGATCTGTAATTATGTTTTGTTTTATATGGTGAACCCAAAATTTTTTTGGTACACCTATTCCCAAAAATGAATTTCGAGCCCTGCACAATGAAACAAAGGAAGAAAACAAAGGAAAAGAAGGAAAGTAGCTAATATCTAGGATAAACTCACAGAAAGGTACATGTACATGACAGCATTAGAGATATAGGTTAGGACCATACAAAGTTACAAACATTCTTTGAATACGCTTTGCATTGTAACTTTCTTTCCAAAGTAAAACAGTGTTATGTATTCCAACAACACCTATTCAAATCTTTTGAAATCTTTGTCAATCTGTAAGTTTGCAACATAATCAAGAAAAGCACTGTTTAGCTTGATTTGAGACAAGTTAAAACAAACAGAAAGAACAGAAATAGAAAGCAGAGAATGAGAAAAGAAAGAAGGAAAGAAAGAAAGAAAAAGAAAGACCTTGAGACAGGAGATACGTCAGTCTTGCGAGGTGATACGGGGCGGTTAGGGGGAGAAACTTCGACTGACGCTGGTGACACTGACCGCTGTCTCTCCCATGTTCCCCCCAGTTCTGGGCTTTCTGGCCTAAAAATTACAAACATAATGTCTCTTCTATCCAGCGACTTGAAATACAGTCACCAATAGTGCTGTGTACCGGTTCACTGGACTTGGATCCGGACATGTTTAGGTTCAAGTCCAAAAAAACCTAAAAGTTAAAAACCGGTCTCACTTATTACCATAAAAGACCATTTCACATACCCAAACCACCTAAAACCTTCCGTAGATTGCAAAATCTTTGCTGCAAAATGAAGAAAACATTGCCATCGGGCATCGTCAAGTACTGGCCTTCATGTTATGTGGCCAAAGGTTCACCCAGACAACATTGCAACTTGCAAGGTTGCCAACATGCAATTTTGTATATGCCATGGGTTTAGGTCCGGACTTGTACCTAAACCTCTGGACTTGAATCCGGACATGAACCTAAATGTGGGTTTAGGTACACAGCACTAGTCACCAACATAACAATACACATATTTACAGTGCTGTGTCTATGGGAAGCTGGGGTTGACAGGTTGACCTTGGGAAATCAGGGTGACCTTTAAATCACATCAATGACTGTTAATGAAATTCATAGACTGGAAAGAACATGGTGGTTATAGACACAGTGTGTGATAACTACACAGGAAGGAAGACATTGGGGATGGAAAGGAAGGAAGGGAGATATGATTGGGGTGTGCATCATAATTATCCTCAATATCAATAATATTAAGTTAGTAGAAAAATAGTCATCTTCGGACATTAATAAAAAAACTGAAGAAAAAGAAGTGTCACTCTTAGATTTTGACCAAAAATGGTGTAAGCATAATTATACAAAATAACAGTTCTTTTTGTTGTCCTTAAAATGCTAAGCTGTACCTTAACTATTGACAGAAGTCCAGTTTAGTACATGGGTTGTCAAACTAAAAACTTAAGATCCATTTATCTAAACACACATTCAAGTAGTAAACGTAATGATCTTTACTGTTCAACTTATTTAATTAGACACTGTATGCATACAAATATACATTATTGTAAATATCAAGTTTACCCAAGTACATGTATTAACCATTCATACAACCTTCTTTCAAGCCACATGAACCCAAGTGCATAACATTCTCACACACAGTCACGAAACTTAGATTAGAACTGTTTGTCATACCTTATACAGACCCTAATCTACGTGACTAACTCTGAAGCCTTGCATCCATTAAACAAGCATTACTACCACCTATATGTGACTATTCATGTGATTACAGTCAACCATATGTCAGAGTTTATGCTTATCCCATAACAAACGCATGACTTCACATCACCCAAATAGTTACAGAAGAACTGTAAAAGCTAATAAGTCTGCTAGACGACCGTAAATTCTTTGTTTATACTTGACCCTACCACTTCTGGTCTGCGTAACACCCTTCTACTTACCACTACGAAGTTTTAAAACAGACAGCGGCTTGATCCGAGAATCGGCCAAATAGTTACAGAAGAACTGTAAAGTCTATTAGTAATATGTCTACTAGACGACCATAAATTCTTTGTTTATACTTGACCCTACCACTTCAGGCCTCCCTAACACCATCTTACTTACCACTACAGAGTTTTAAAACAGAGCGCTTTGATCCGAGAATGCGAAAAACAAACCTCTGTACTCCGCAGTCCGATTCTTTGGCTAACCTTCCAGGATGTGGCCTTCCCAACATGACAGTAATGGCTTGTCCAGAACTCGGCTACCCTTATCCACTCTTGTACTGAACAGTAACACCGTATCTCCTCTACTCCACTACAAATCACCCAAGACTTCACGGCAAGTAAACAGGCCAACCGAGCAGAGTCGAGGTGAAGACTCAAAGATGCTCCCCACTGTAAGATTAATCTACTCGAGGTTATTAAAATTCATAGAGCAAAGATGAGGGTCGGACGGGGGTAAACAAGGAAAGGTACTCAGCTGCCAAGAGTCAATGAAAAGGCCCGTAACATCACAAAACAGGGAAAACAACCCTGGATGAAATGTTAGCTTAAGCACGGTTGGATGTTTTCCGATGCCCGTGGTGAGGAGTTAAGACGGAGAAGCATTCCGTTGACGTACCAACCTGTGTTTTGATTGGCTAACGCCCATATGGGTTCAACGGAAAGATCAAGAGGAGAGAAGACTTGGCTGAGAAGAACGGATGTTAATTCGCAGGGCTTCAAAAGGGGAGCACTTCTTCGGTTGTTTGGACCCAGGTCTTAATATCTAATCTAGAAAAACTAGGCCAGCTGGAAGGAGGTCGATCCCAGCTATTTCTGGTTCATAAATGCCAGTAGTAGAATTTCCAAAATTGTCCGTTTCCCTGGGGAAACTCGCCAAGCGATAGCAATGAGAAAATTATTTGGTGGAAAGTTGGCCAGATGTAGAATGGATCAGCCCATAATGGTCTTTTAGGTAGGATCTGTGTAATATATTAGGCTTAAAATGTGGTTTCCTTTTAAAAGGCAAAGGAAAATTCATTTTTCAGCTCCAAAACAAATAAACTTGCACCATGAATTTTCATTATTATTCATTTTGTCCATGTAACAATGCCTGGGCACTAACCAATGATTATATTATTATATCAGAAATGTTTACTTGAAGCAAGAAATCCACCTCTGGATTTGTTTTGAAGAAAGACGAACAAATATCGCATAAAAACACATCACACAGACCACCCAGGGTGTCTGTATTTTCCATCAAGAGGAAGTAAGATGAGAAAAATAAGTTTTTCATAACATTGTTTCATTCTTTAATATACAAGGAACAAAGTCTATGCCCCCCTCCCCACCCCATGCAAGACTGTCATACATGTACAGTTCCCCACCACCAAATGCAGACATCACAATTTATAACAGATAAAGGATATGAAGTGACCATGTCCCCCCTTATTTGGGCACACACCCAGCTCTCTAACATATCAAGTTACCGGGTAGATCCTAAGGCCACAGCAAGTAATTTTTATGGATGACATCAGCGCGTGCATTAATTTTCGCCTGATTTTGGGAAAAAAAACAAGAAATTTTTCTTCTGACAGTGGTCACCGTGCTGAAAATGGGCAAAGATGTCTGTTGCCATGCCGGAAGGTGGATGGCAGATAACTATGAAGAGAGGAGACAAGAAAAGACTCTGATTTAATGTTTTGTTTTTCACTTTGTGTATATGTGATGTTCCCACTGAATCAAAACCATTTGTACAGTGATTGAGTCAAAATTTTAGAATGTAGGAACTTTTTTTTCCCCAGCCCGCCTTGTTTTTTTTCGCCCGCTCGCATTGGATTTGGAGTCTGCGGAGGATGTCATCCATAAAATTTACTTGCTGTGGCCTATGGGCTAACTTTGGGAGCTGCAGAAGAACCTTTGACGTTTACATAACCAACGTTGTGCCCATAAAATCCACATATGGCATAATTACCATAGAGTTATGGGGCCATAAACTTCAGTACAGAAAATCTATTTCTATGGTATGAATATGGCATAAAACCGTTATGGGCTTACACGTAAATATATGCAGTAAATGACTATGTAGACTTAACTAAAAGACCTAAATTTATGATGTTACTCAGTATTTGTATTTTGGGAGTGATTACCATGGTTGATCTACCCTTCACATGAAAGCTAAGTACTGTTTTTCAGCATAAGTATAACCGAGTATGTTAGAAATGTTATAGAACTACTCCACCTCCTGTTATTATTTAACCATCTGGTCTGATTTTCTTTTTCAAATCACAAAGAATTACAGGTATTTTTGTTGTTCAAAGAAGGCTCATCCCACTATTTATGTACAGTCTAAAAACAGCCTCAAGTATTGCAAATAGAATGCATTTAGAACTTTTGCGAAAAATATTTTGCCAATTGTTGGCAATAGGCAGGAAGTAGAAAATACTTTGTTCTTGTTGCCAAAACTTATTACTAGTACTTTATTCTTAAGGAGTATCATCCTTGTCTTGACTTGTCCAACTTTTGTTTCCTTTTGGCCTTTCAAAAAAATTTGTCTTCACTTACTTCTATATCGATCAATAGTTTGTGCTTGTAAACCTGCATTTCTCCTGCAGTCTCTTAGTGTCACTGACGAAAGCTAGTGGATACTACCTGAAACGTCTGACCGTTTCCAAAATCATACCCAGTTGCTTGAGTAACTGTTTTTTGGCATATACACTAGGAGTAGCCTACATGTTCTTTCAAACTGCAGAAACAAGCCCTAAGATGAGTCCTTTATTTTCGAGGTGGTACCCTAAAAATCAGCCTAGGGCCCTTCCAGTAACCATTTTCCGTCAGAATTTTGGGAATTTTTGCTCCATGAGGGCCAATATACATTGGGATAGTGTGGTTTCAACTCAGTATGTAGATAACTAGACTAGAATATTGGCTTTGAAAAATCAGGTTTCCAAGCCCTAAAAACTGCACTGGATGCCTTTAAGACATTAATAGTCCGTGTCGGCAATGTTTTTCTCAGCAGTGATCCCCAACCTGTTTCTGGAGAAATAATTGGCCTCAACCTTTTGAACTGCTTTCCAATAAACACATGTTAATGGGTAGCCTTTCCCTCCACACTAAACCACAGCTGTGGGGCACACATAGTTGTCCACATCACGTTTCACACACAGGGGAGCAGACCACACATGGGAGCAGGCAGCAAGGCAAAGTGCTGGGAAACTTCTCAAGAATCAGGCTGACACCCTTTAGCCTGGTAACCAGACCGCCGTGAGCTCAGCGCTATCCCTTCGGCGCAGAGAGCGTTTGGGGCCGCCAACTACCGCACTTCGGGCGTTTTTAAGTTTCTTCGCTCACAACGGTCTGGAATTTTCGCACACACACTTTGGGTTGGCGGCAACAGAAGACTAAGCATAATACAGGAAGTCAGCGGATACAGGGAAACCAGCTGGAGATAGGTCCGTGGTATAACTCGCCTTTGCTTGGTAAAGGCCGGGGCCAAAAAATTACCGCCAAGCCGACCAAAGGTTTGGTACCCAGGCTAGATACCCTTAGGTTTTTACTACAAAACCACAGAAGCACATCCGGGATTTCTCTAGCTCTACTCCCAAGAGTTGTCAACAGGCATTTGCCATTGAATAAAACAGTAATACTTAGTAGCTGGAAGAAGCTGAGGTATCTTTGGCAATCATTCAAATGATGATAGGGATCATCATCATTAAACAGCTTTCTGTGCTGTAACAAATTACAATAGAACGCACATACCTTTCTTATTACCTTGTAGATTTAAGTATAAAACCTTACACCTTGCACATTTATAGATATATACAATGTTAACTGTATATGGAATATATTGACACACACATAATATACATGTACATGTATGAATACACATACACACACATGTGCACACACACACAATTCATGCACGCACACACACACACATACATACATGTTCACATACACGCACGCGCGCATGCACACATCAATGTAGTTTGAGCCTTCCCTGCGAGCAGTACTGGAGAAATTTCCTATGAATTTTTCCTCAAAGGACATTTTTTTCTAACCTCCAACAAGCTGATCTACCACAAATTCAGAAATACATGTACTACTGGCGCACCAGACTATCTGTACATTCAAATTTGCATACTGTGAACTTGTTCTAACCACTCAAGTATTGTGTTCAATCTTATAAGTAGTATATACTTAATGGACAATCATTTCATTGATATTTGGCATGTCTTTGTCATCAACAACTGCAGGATGAGATAGTTGTGATGTCCAGTATTTCTGACTTTGTGGTGACCTTTGTTTGACCTTGGATGACCTTACCTGACAGAGGAACTCCTGGGGATCCCCTTGGGTGATGCTGAGCTCTGGGCAGACATAACTGTTTCACTGGAGGGAAAGAAAATAAAACATCTTTATTACCTTCACCAAGAAGGTTATGTTTTCAGTAGCATTTGTCCGTCTGTCCATTTGTCTGTCTGTTTGTCTGTCTGTCTGTGAACAGCATTACTCAAGAAGCATGAAAGTTCATCTGTGTTGGTACAAGTCATTAAAGCTTAGTCTTTATTTCATAATAACTCAAGAAGCTTGATATGCATTGTCATGAAACTTGGTTGGTGGATAGGTCTTGATGAGACCTAGAAATGATTAGATTTTGGGCCCCCTAGCAGCTTTTCTTGGTACTGCAGCAGAACTTCCGGTTTTGATATCTCACGATCTGGACATGCTAGGGTCATTTGGCGAAGGTATGAGATCATGGAACTCTTGTTACTCTTGTCTTGACTTGTCTAACTTTTGTTTCCTTTTGGACTTCCCAAAAATTTGTCTTCACTTATTTGCATATCAACCGGTTAACCAATAGTTTGTTCTTATAAACCCACATTTCTCCTGCAGTCTCCAGTGTCACTGACAAAAGGTAGTGGAGGCTACCTGAAACGTCTGACCATTTCCAAAATCATACCCAGTTGATTGAGTAACTGTTTTTTGGCGTATCTTTAATGTTTGTGACACTTAAAATTACACTGTCTTTACAGTTTTTTTTAGTCTACAGCTTACAGTTACTTTAAACTTTACAGTTTACACTTAACTTTGTAGTTTAAACTTTACTTTCAACTTTAAACTTTAGTTTAAACTTTACAGTGTGAACTTTACTTTAAAGTTTACAAAACAACGCAATGGAAGAGAGAATCTGTACGTGGTGAATTTCAGCGTTAGTTTGAAGCTCACTAGTACAATATTGTGAATAACAGTTTTTCGGTGAAAACTTTCCATTGTATCGTTGAAGAGGTTCATCAGTCACGTAGAATTAACAGTTAGTAGAATATTCTTCAATCAGTGACTGTTTTTGGAAGGTAAAATCACGTAACACCTTCAAATTTTCTGTGTCCACTGTGACCTTGTCTCTCTAGTTCTCACAAAAAAAGTGATAGTGATCTCGAACCAGTTTAGCTCACTGAATAGCTAATCTTTCACTGGTCGTGACAGAGAATACAGACGCTATGTACAGTATTTACAGGTTCATTATAACCGGGGAAATTCCCCTAGCTCTTTCGACAAGCACAATGAACAGTGGACCATGGCTTAACGTCCCGTCTGAAGGACTGCGAGCCTAAACAGTAGCATGCATGTCGGGATTCGAACTCCCAACCTCTTAGTCCAGAGACAGGATCGCTAACCACTGGACCACACACGCTCACAGGACTAGGTTACCCGTGATCAAGGTGTGTATAGTCGACATCGAAAATTTGGAGGTACATGTACATGATTTTACCTTACAAAAACAGTCACTGATTGAAGACTAACTGTTTCTATTGCATGACTTGATAGCTGTACCTTGGAGCTGGTTGCCTTCCAGGAGTTTTGGTTGTCGACACCGTTGTCGTCAGAATGCTCGTCTTTTGCAAGATGTTAGTTTCCGTTCTTGGTGGTTCCTCCTGGCCATAGGATCCCGGCCCGCGGCCATACGACCCCGGCCCTCTGTCGTATGACGCGGGCCCTCTATCGTACGATCCGGGGCCTCTATCGTACGGTCCTCTCCCGTTCATCTGCGGCGGTGTGACCTCCCAGATATCAGGACTAGGCGGTGCCTGGGGTAACACTCTTGGCTCCTCCCCTCCAACAAAACTGCTGGTGAGGTCAGCCGTAAGTACATCCACCTCCACTGTCAGGTTCTGATCCATCGGGGTGGTCATCTCAGGCCCACGGTCTGGTGGAGCGCCTCCTGGTGGAAAGTGTCAGAAGTGCAGATGTTACCACCTAGTACAGTACCTCTCAAGTACAGTAGTAGAGTAGTAGTAGTAGAATGGTTTATTATTATTACAAGAACAAGAAAATGTACACACAAGCCTCCTGGCAGCATTGATGGATGAATTGTGAGGCCTATTCTAACATCATGTTGCGACAAACTATATACATTCATAAAATTTAAAAATATAGTAAAATTTAAAGTACAGTACAGTAACACTTGAGATAAGATTACTACATGTATATTCAAAGAATAACCAGAAAATTGACTTTGAAATCCAGTTTCCCCACCCGAAATTGAAATTAAATATTGGTGTTCTTCAGAAAAACTCTGTCCAAGGTGCTGATTTTCATGTTGTTGAAAAACTCCCTCATTTCCTAAAAAAATTACTAAAGAAATAGCATCACCTGTGTGGTTTTTCACCAGAATGTACAGATCTTCCTTAAAAGTTATCAAAACATGTGACTTCAACCATGTTCATCCAATTGTCTCAACTTTGCATGTAAAAATGGTGATGTGTGATTTGTCACAATTTTGGAATAAAGTCATCATTCATGAATGTGTAGCATCAAATTTTGATTCTTAGGCATGAGTGACTTAAAGCATATCATAAATTTTCATATTCTGTCAAAATCAACAGTATACATGGTGACCAGCCCCTCTAACTCTGTCTTGCAACTTGCTACATAATGTGATCCAACACCACATGTTGTATGCTACATTCCCAGTTACCATGGTGACAGCTGTCTGATTGACCTTCTTTGTTGAAGAAGAAGAAACTGAGCAAAAACAACATTAACTGTAAGATTTGTATTGGGAGACTGGATGAAGTCCTTACCAGCTTGTGTATATTTGGGCCCTGTAGCCTTCGCGGTGTAGCTCCATTTTGTCATAGGTGTTAACTCTCCAGGCTTGAAGCCCTTCCGTACGGCACTCTCTGCCCTCTGCTCTACAAAACTGCGCGCTAGCAGATCTGTAAACACAACAAACTGTTACTGCACAGTTCTCTTAACCTTCACACTACCGTTGGTAGCCTTCTGGCACAAATTTGAATTGGTTATGAGGAAAGTCAGCAAGGAGAAGGTTAATTTCAACACAATATTGTCTAGTTACATGTACTTCCCATATTTGTTGTTTTCCATTTCGTCTAGTTATACTGATATTTAAAGACCAAAAATAAAACTGTTTTTAACCTATACATATTTTTCCTGTTACCGGTAGCTAGCTTTTACCAAAAAAAGCCTAGTCTATTACTCTTGCATAGTGTCTTTTACCTTTGACAGACAACATAACATAGTGTTGTTTTCGTACACTTGGACAGTATTTCACACAAGAGCTGCATTTTCTAATGATAATTGAGAAATATTTGAGGGACAAATCTGCATTATTAACTGCTGTGCAAAAGCATGATATACTCACTTCCAGGGTTACGTCCAAACAGATGTTGCGTAGCAAAAAAGGAGTGCAGCAGTTTTGAGTTAAAGAATTCACTACACTAGTCTGTTTCATGCATTGTTCAAGCATTATGGCATAAACTGACAAAGACAACATGTATATGACAACATACAGACACTTCATGACAGAAACATTGTCACAGTAACAGCCAACTTGTAAGTAACATACTTCAGCAATCCATAGGAACAACAACTACAAAGAACATCGATTAGGCCACTTCAATTCATTTTGTTGATTCTTGGACATTTTGAGTTCAAAAGATAGGAAGCGGACATCATAAAATGAGAGGGCTACGAAGAAAACCTGAATATGGTTGTATTTACTACATAACACTGACTCCACTGAGGCATCAACCAAGTCCTCAGACTTTGCTTTCATTAGGTTTTTCTAGTTAACCATATTTCTAAAAAAATCCGAGAACCAACAAATCAAATTGGTGTGGCCTTATACTGCAAAATGTAATTTTAAAAAATCTGTAGATTCAAAAAAATCTGTAGTACCTTTCTTACCTTTGTTCTTAGTCTTTGGAGGAACCAGTGGAGGACTCACATCATATTCATTGTTGTCATACATATTCTCTGACAGTTTGAAGCTAAACCAGTATCCACTGTTAAACCTTATTTTGAAACTAACCACGAACGGATGTAACAAATTTCGAGGCAGCGCCAGTACCTTTCTGTCCCTCCTGCGGTGGAGACGGAGGCGATATCGGTTCCATTCCCTTCAGCCCCAGTTCCGAGAGCGGCGTCTTCCCGTAGATGGGCGATTTGCCTTGAGAAAACGAGAAAATCAATGGCGCGGGAATTAGCTATCATCAGGGCGAGCGGGTGGTCAATAATTACCGCTTGTTGATGAATTTGTTATGACACCAAAAATAAGCTCTTCCTTTTACGTTCAAGCAGGTTTGTGGGATGGGGGTCATCTCAAAATGTTCAAGTGGGGGTCATCTCAAAATGTTCAAGCAGGTTTGTGGGATGGGGGTCATCTCAAAACGTTCAGGTTTGTGGGTTGGGGGTCATCTCAAAATGTTCAGGTTTGTGGGATGGGGGTCATCTCAAAATGTTCAGGTTTGTGGGATGGGGGTCATCTCAAAATATTCAGGTTTGTGGGATGGGGGTCATCTCAAAATGTTCAGGTTTGTGGGATGGGGGTCATCTCAAAACGTTCAAGACTATTCTCCGTCTTCACAGTTTGAAATAGTGCTAAATATAAGCAAAGCAAGTACCATAAAAATCTACATCTTTCCAATGAAAGGTGATGACACATAATGCCAACTAGCATGAATGATAATGTGTTTGACATGAACCTGAATAGAAATAACATGACTTTTCAATAATCAATCATAAACATCTGGTCAGATTCTTGGGAAAGAATCGATTTCCGACCTAAAGTGCATTTTTGGAGTACATAACCATTAAGAAATGGGCATTCCTATAATAACAATGCCAATTTTTTCATACGTTTGTAACAAAACCAAAAACAATTCAAGAGTTCTCTTGACAGTGATTTACTTTTTTGTGGGACAAAAAGCTGATAACTTTATCACTACATGTAACCTACAATGACCCAATAACAATCTCCCCAGCCTGCTATACACACTTTTGTCCACCAATTACCCATTGATTTTTCAATCAGGGGACACAAAAGACAACAGCAGGAAACCAATTGTTATTTGATTAGTCCATGGTTTGTTGCCTCCTTGTTGTAACGATTTTCTTGAGGTAAATTCATTACTTGGTGACTTTGCGCGTCAAAACCTTTAACACTGTCGTGTTGGACAATGTTGTGTGATGTTGTAGTATATCGATCAACTTATGGATAGCAATGAAAATGACAAACTGTGAAGGTTTCTTAAAGGCATCCAGTGTAGTTTTAGGGCTTGGAAACCTGATTTTTCAAAGTCAATATTCCAGTCTACACATAGTACTACCTAGTTAAAACAATCTCAATGTATATCAACATTCATGGAGTAAAAATGCCAAAAATTCTAATTAAAAATGGCTGATTTTTAGGGTACCACCAAGAAAATAAAGGACTCATCTTGGGGCTTGCTTCTGCAGTTTTGAATGCCTAAAGTATGAAATACTGATTCAAATGTGCTAATGTGAAGCAGTACGTGTCGATATCACAAAGATTGCCTTATTCAGCATATTTCCAGTTTTGCTGCCCTGACATTGCATTGGATGTCTTTAAAAGACGAAAAACAGACATTATGTACAGGGAACTGTACCTTCATGCTGGGATGCTACAGCCCCATGATGCCTCAGCTAGGGTCAAAGGTCAGCTGTCCTAGCAGCACCCACTGCTAAGCATTAACAAACAAGGCCTAGGAAAAAATGTTGTGTTTCCTGTTTCAGTCTTGAAAAAATTAGGGTCGGGTAGGTAGGGATTATCTTTTTTTCTTTCTTTTTCTTTTTATTAGACTTGTGATCCAACTTATACAATACAGTTTAACCAAGTAAAACTTGCATGAGGACACTTTGTTATATTTTCAATGTCAATGTTGGAAAACCGATTGTACAACGTTTCATCACTCAGGTGTCAGATCATGGAGCTAGAAAAGGTTGATCTGCTCGAAAAATTTATGTCCCTTGCAGGGGTCCACATACAAAAAAGGCTAGGGTCGGCAGTTTTTTCTAGGGTAGGTCAGGAAACAGGAAGGAAGGTCTCCCGTGCTCTTATGCCGAGCGTAGGGTGGTGCCCATCTCCATTTCGTAGCCCTTGAGCGACACACAGTTGTGCAAGGCACTACAGCAGGGGGTTAGTCCGCTGGTAGTGCTGTGTGTTTGACCTTCCCACACTCTTTCTCATATGTGCTGAGTGACATGCAGAGAAAGAAGTGTGTACCATTTTTAACGTATTTGGTATGACCCGGCCGGGGTTTGAACTCACGACCTCCCGGTTATAAAGTGAGCACTCTACCGATTGAGCTATTGCACCGGTATAACAGGGAAACAGGAAACACAGCATTTTTGTTCCTAGGCCCAAGTTTGCGATGTTAACAGTGTGTGCTGCTAGTGACACCACCAATTGCCCCCAGACAAGGTCCCATGGGGACGTGGAATGGAGAATGGAACTATTCTTACCGGTCGGGCTCTTACCCAAGTTGGCGTAAGGAGTCCGAGGGGTGGTGGGGAAGTTCGGGGTCGTCGGTTCCCCGTACCCGTCCACAGAATCCGGGCTGGTAGGGCGGCGCAGACCCTGCCCACGGTCCAACTGACTAGCTTCATCCAAATCCTCCAGATAACTGTGGATGTCCTGGGGAAGGTAGAATGGATGTTAATGTTAGCAAAAAAATTTTTTTTTTAAGTGAAGACACTTTTAGAAGCCCAGCAATAGTTACAGTGGTGAATTGGTAATCTCCAAGCAGATATATAGGGTCTGGGTCATGATCAGTGTTTTACACATGTTTTGAGGCTTTTTAGACTTGAGACTCGCATCAGAACTGAGACGCTTTAAATTAAAGTTTAAGTGCAAAACCAAGAGTAAGTACATGGTGTAGATGAACTACTTTCATGGTCTTGTAAGACTGACGAAATGCCTACTACTAGACCTCTTGATAGAGGTCCACATTTCTTTCGCTTCCACCAAGAGTCGGTAAGAGTAAAAAAAGGTCCAGTACTAGAAAGATAAATTAAATACTACAAAAACTAAAACACTGTGGCTGAACCAGATTTTACATCGACTTGGAGATTATGAAATGGTGCAGCACCAGATATAGAGATGTGACATGCATTCGGCAACATGGAAGATGGCAGATGAGAGATGACAAGATAGGACGTCACCAGAGATAGCAGCAGGTGCCATGTACAGCAATGCTGTGGAAGTGCGCTATAGTACTATTGATCTTCGAGAAAAGTTTTCGCCGCCAACTTCGTAGCAGGGGATCAGTGTTGGGACATTTCACCAGCTCTTTTTCCTTTAACAGCTTAAGTGTCCATTTTCTGATGTTGACCATTTCCAACCATTGATTCCCTAATTAAAAACAATAATTGCTGATGAGCTGACCAATCATGGGTCTTGTTTCAAAATGTTAAAAATCTCAGATTCTCATGGCCATTTTCATAGGTCAGCATGAACAAAAGCTAACCAATCATGGGTCGTGTATCAAAATAAAAATCTCAGATTCTTATGGCCATGTTCATTGGTCAACATGAGCAAAAGCTGACCAATCATGGGTCTTGTATCAAAATGTTAAAAAGCTCTGATTCTTATGGCCATTTTCATTGGTCAGCATGAGCCAAAGCTGACCAATCATGGGTCTTGTATCAAAATGTTAGAAATCTCAGATTCTTATGGCCATTTTCATTGGTCAACATAAGCAGAAGTTGGACACTTCAACTGTATTAAAGGAGTGCCACCCAATGTATATTTATACCACACTTACATAAAGGACTTTACTAATAGGAGTATTGAAATCCCACATATCCTCCTCCACAAAAACTTCATCATTATCTTCCTCCTCTTCTTTGAATTCCTCAAATGTAAATAGCTGGAATGTCAACAGTTACATGAAGGTATGGGAAATGGTAATACATCCATTTGCTCATTTTAGTCCCTCAAGCATCACTTCAAGAGGCAGTCAATTGCTTATCAAATGATAATATCAAAGACTTGTACTAGCCCTTGTTGTTTGAGTAATTGGGATATAATTATTAGGTTTTATTCTACTAATAGGTCTTATTCTATACATTTATTTTGTACTTTGCCATGTGTTGTGCAACGAAAATGAGTTGACTATTCAAACCTCTACAATTTATCCCAATTTCTCTAAATTTACAATTCTTCTTTTAATTTCCCAAAACCAATAAATTTTGGAAAAGGTGGGACATTACATCTTCCATGGTTTACAGAAGAGAAGTCAAACCCTTCAGACATAGTTGTAGACATAGTTATAGTTCCAGACAGCTACCTTTATCTTGTAGACTTTAGTTATTTTATACTCTGAAAATGTTTCAATGTTCTTTTATGTTTGTAATTTGCAATTAGCCTCTGGGCATGAATTTGCAACAAACTTCTCAATTGTACCATGTGCAATGGTCATGCAATAAACTTCTTCTGTATTGAAGTGTAGTCCTTACCTCTTTAGGCCTTGCTCCTGGGTTTTTGGAGAGCGTGTGCACCAGCTCCGGAGACAGGCACCTCTCCACGGGTTCCCGGCGCCGCAGGGACGGCGGGGAATACGTGGCGCTGTCCGACTCGTACCCGGATGTGCTGCGGGTGCGGCGGAGGTACCGCGACGGTCCCGGCCTCTGCTCCTCAATCTTCAGGTCCTCTTGAAGCTGACGCAGCTTGGAGTGATAGTCTTTAAACAGACGTGCAGAGGCACTTAGAAAACAGCCTTGGAGCATCATTTAACACTTAGGCAACACCAATTTAATTTGGTTGGTTCTCAGATTTTTTCAGAAAAAATATCAAGCAACAGGGCAAAAAAAAAACTATAATAAAAACAGGTCTAGGCATACTATTATAGCCCCAAATGCTTCGATAGGAACCATGAAGTCAACACAAAAGGCTGGGTTAATATCTAAACAATGAAGTTTGAACTTTTAATCAAACCACTGTATGGATAGACGGAAAAACTGTAACAACTAGGAAGAAAAGGACTTTTGTATATGTTTGGGGCAAAATAAAAACATTTTTGAGTTGATTCAAAACCAGATATTTTTTTTTTGCAAACCAGAAAAAAATGAAGAGGCGAATCCAAGAACCAACAAATTAAATTGATATGGCCTTATGAAACAAGTTTGAACTGCTTTTTCCAACACAAGAAATTGGACGTACCCAAATTTTCAAATGTACAACTTCAGTCTTTGTCAAGGAATGAGCAATCCACCGCTTCCGTGACATCACGCGAAAATTTGGGTGAGTCCAATTTCTTGTGTTGGATATTGCAGTTCAATCTTGTTTCATAATGACTTCTACCAACACAGATGAACTTCCAAGATATCATTTAACACTTACTTATTCCTCACTAAATATGCACTTTTGGTCTTTCAAGCTACATTTTTGCTTTTTTTTTTTCACAAATTAACACAATCAATTTTTTGCTTATTTTTACCAGAAAGGCTCAGTCCGAAACCTGGTAGCATGTGACATTTTACATTGTCATTTACTTGTACATTTACATTTACTTGTAACTTCGTCAGTGAAGATTTTCAACGAATTTTTTGAAACATGAAATGTCATAAAGAAAATCTTTGGAAAAGCAAAAGATATGTTGCACAGAGATTTAAATAATCATTGAAAATAGATGGTATTTTCTATCTAGTCTGGCATATGAACTACTGAATGGTCTAACTATAAACCCTAACAACTAACTAACTACATGTACCATGCTTTCCAATACTAAGCTACATCTAACATTCCTAGAATGGATTTCCAAAACATCTATATCTGATATATAACGATGTTATAGATGTTTGGGAAATCCTGATATCATTTTACTACAGAAGGTGCCTGTTAAAGAAAGAAGTCTCTCTCTATATATATACAAATGTATATGATTACGTTAGTATTGCAATGAGCAAAGTTAATTTGCAAGTCAGTATGTGGTGAATTGTGCACTTAACATTATAATACATCTCAAAACATCAAACAAAATAAAGATAAGAACGATTGCTCAGAAAGTGATGTGGCCATTGCAGGATGACAAAAAAGAAAAAGGTGCATGGATGGAAGTCAAACATTCCGGTCAGAAATTCAGCCTACCATTCCACCCAAGGTGGGAACCTTCTGGGTTCCCATTTCCGTTGACGTATCGAGCTCCCGTTCCATGCATGGTCCCCGCAACGTCACTCTCCAACCGGTACGGCCAATTACCCGCAAAACGCAACGTTCCTTCGAACTCTATAACGTCACAATATCAGCGGTTAGCACCCAGCGCAACATGCAAACTTTTACAAGCAGCGTCACACCACAAGTCAAGGGGGTACGCAACATACTAATTACAGACAAACCTTGGTACCACATAGGGAAAGGAAGGTAACGTTAAAGGGAAGAAGGGATATTTCACCAACATATGGCAAAGGGTACAACGTCAGCACATGCAGAAATGGTTAACATTTACAGGCTAACCAGCAGTAATATAAGGATCAGTTGTAGCACTGAACATGCATGCAACACTCTGCTTTAGCATATAAAGTTAGCAGTAGAAATTGCTGAGATTTCACTACTGCCAGCCTAAATTAAGCCCTTAACGTGTACATGTAAATAGCTAGTCAAGCAAACACTACACAAATAAACTGGACACCTTAAACACAAGCTGGGGTTGCAATCCTCTGAGAATTTTGAAAATTTAATAGTTTTTAGTATTATCATAAAAAGATTTAAGGGCAGTATTGGCATATTATAATTTATCCTGAAATACAATTATCTGGCTCCAAACTGAAGAAAATTCAAATTGGCTTAACAAGCAGAATCATCAAGAACATGATTAATTGAGAAAAGTATTTGGGAAAAGAAGGCCAGATTTTCTTTTTGAATAGTACAGAAATAAACTTTGCATTATAGAAAGCTAGACTAGTAGATTTTTGCCTGTTCCACATTGTCAGAGCTACAGTTGCAGTAAAGCTACAGTAAAAGAGCTATAGTTGCAGTAAAGATACAGTAAAAATGTATCACATCTACACATAATGGATTAGTCACTTCAACATGGAATTTGTCTTTAGAGTGATTAATAGGCTTCTAAATTTTGAGGATTTCTTCTGGGGAAACAATATCTTTATCTACATGTCTTGCATCATGGCACAACCCTTTCTTCAAATATAGTTCTGAGTGGGTTGCCGACAGCTTTTCGATAAGGGTGTAGAGTGTATGATCTATTTATAGTGTTGTGGCTACTACAAGTCTGACTGCTATAGACAGACTAGCCCAGGGTGTGTCATAACTTGTCTCCCCAACAATTAACTTCTCATCCCGCTTTCTCAGTAAAACTGGGATGGATTATGAATAATATAAGGAGTCTTGACAGGAATGTTGGTGGTTCGAATCCTGTCCGGTTATAGAGGGCAGGGCATATCCATTTATAGCCGTTGGAAGTGTGGTGCTGGGGAGGCTAACTGAGGGGCAGCCCTTCTCAGTTTGGTGGTAAAACCAACACTCCTGGTTGGCTGTTGGCTCGAATTACAGTCCAATGTACTCCCAGTCTGACCTTGCCACTAGCAAAAGCAACCCTGAAGGTCACTATAAATAAACTGTTTTTACCAGACATTTTCTTGCAGAAACGTTCTGGACTAAAATAGTGATTTTACGATATTGGGATGTGAATTATAGTCCTTGTATATCTGCAGTATTTGATGAGTAAATTTGATGTCATTCTATATGGAACACCAGGCACACAGACTTGTTTTCTGTATTGACATAACTCAAACACTGCTCCCAATTATTTGCTCATTATGCCCTTTTTTCAGGAAGGGGGTGACACTAGTAGATTTAAATCATCATGTTATATCAAAGTTTTTCCAGAACATCCTTTTTGTACATGAAAGAAGCTACAAAGAAGATTCCTGCATACTATCTAACCAAGAAGAAATTTCATGTAGTTTACATGGTGATAAAAAAATTGATTTCAAAATGCATTACGAAGTACATATTACGATTATAGTTTTAAGAATTGTTCTCTTTGTTTGACTCAGTTCTATCTCCTGGTTAGTGATCTAATTATTTTGGGAACTTTGATGCTTATAATGCCAGGAGGATTGCAACCCTGCCAGGGAACTATGCTAAGCAGACCAGGACCGCTTGTTGTGACATCTGATCGTGATCCTTCCAACATGGAACATACATGTACATCCTGACCTCCTATGGAAACTTGTATAGTTCGAACTACAGAAAGTCTTGAAAATTGTTCTGCTGTGTTTAATGGCAGTTGTGGTAGAAACCATAGGAGGTCATTACTGTCACGAGATCGTAACAACACTTACCCTTCACTCTCTGTCCCACCAAACCCTTCTTCTCCGCTCCTTGGTCGTCAGGCTCCGTTTTCGAGTAAATTCCGAAATCGGGATCGGGAGCGGCCTTCCTGGTTGGTGGAGGAGTAGCGCGCAGCCCGATGTGTGGAGAACTAGACGCCGTCGAAGAAACCGATGAGTACGACGAAGTGTACGAAGACTGGTACGGTTGAACCGGCGTGGTGGTTACCAGGGGTTCGTAACCTTTGGGCTGAACGAACGGTCGTTCGCGGTCGTGCGTCGTATCCGACATTTGTCGCCCAAGCGGTCTCCCGTGACTCTGCCACCCTCGGCGCATCATGGCGTCCTTGCTGCTACTCCTCGTAGGGACCTGTGGAGATGCCGGCCGCTCCAGCACGGGGGTTACCGTTACCGACGTCGTCGGCGTGATCTGTTTTCTCTCCGATCTCTTCGGCGAGTGCATCCTCTGAGGCGCTGGAGGCTTCTTACTTAGAAGTTCATTGGTGTACTCCTGGAAGGTTTTCTCCTGCGTTACCACGACACCCGGCCTTTGCGGGGGCTGGGAGACGACGGATGCTGGGGCGGCGACACTGCGTACCGGAGCAGGGCCGGTGGTTTGAATCTGAGGAGAGGATTGTGGGCTGGAGGCCAGGGGGGAAGAGGTAGATGTTGTGCTATAGGTAAATGTTTGTACAGTTGTGGTAGTGATGAGGCTGGAGCCAGGGTGGGCGTAAGGAGGAGTGGATGGGGTGGAGGAGCTGTAGTCGGGAGTGTATGTCTGCCCTAACCTCTGCATCTCTCGCTTTCTCTTCAGCTTCAGCTGCTGCTGCTGCAGCCACGTCAAACCCGCCATCTCCTCAGGGGTGGGGGAGGCGCTGATGGGGGTGGGAGCGAATGTTCGCCTGAGGAGAGGGGTTGGTAGGGTTACCGCGGATGGGGCCGTTCATGACCGGTTTCTCCGGCTGTGGATTGGTCGCTGCTGGTTTCGACCTGTTGGTCAACTGCGGGCTGTTGTGTTGTTGTACGTTCACTGTGTACGCCCTTCTTACTTGCTGTTGCACTTCCACGTTTTGTATATTTTCGGGTGAGGGCGGGCCTTGCAGATCTCCGATGTGTAACTCCATCATAGGATCGCGTCCCTTGGGCTGCGATTTCACAGGTGGCGAATCATCCAGAATATCCGTCTCTCTGTCCAACTCCGTCAGCTTAAAACTTCCACCGGGGCTTCTGTCCGTTACTGGTCCATTCACGCCATTCACGATCTCCAGTTTTTCGTACTTCTCGACCTTTGGCACATCTTTCCCGTTAACCGTGTGATGCTGGATGGTCACCGTCTGGTGTGACGTTTGCACTCTCTGTTCCATTTTCAACCCAGGCTTATTCTGCCTCAGTTCCCATACCTTAGACTTGGACTCCTTTGCCACAACATTCCCTGCCTCGTCCACTTCAACATTCCGACTGTGGGTCTCGTGGGTTTCTGGGAAAACTCCATTCACCATTCTAGGTTCGCTTTTCTCGACCGCCAACTCTACGTTATCCAGCAGCTCATCCAGGTTGGAACTATTTGGATCTATAGCCGGAGAGTACGGCGACAACTCACCCCTGTCGCTTCGCTCCGTGGTGGAGGAATTCCCCGAGTCGCTGCTGACGGAGAAGGTCGCCGGACCGTTGGGGATGGTCGGGCCGTTACTCGTGGGGCTGGGAATATTCTCGTTCTCACGGTCGGAGGATGACTTGCGCTCCTTTTTCCTCACTTGTGCATACAGACTCCCGTCCACAGGTCCTCGCTCGTGCTCCACTTCAACTGTACAGAAATATGTGAGGCATTAGGGACACGCAGCAGCCAAATGCTTGCACTGTGAATGCGTCTGCTTAATTTGGCGTCGGGGCCAGCCAATGCAAAGACAGGCTACTGACCCCAGAGGATGATCAAAGATTTCAAATAAGAAACTCAAATATTGGACTCCCCAAAACAAAATTGTCTGACAAAGATAAAGCCTACATTCTGCACAGCACAGCACCTGCCTTTCCAAATCATTCCCACAGCAGTTTATAGTAGTGGGGATCTTGTCTAAATTAACACTGGTGCAGGGGAGGTCGGTAACTCTATATAGGGGTTACAAAGTAAGGACAGCAGTGGGTGTTTATCAACAACGCTGAGGGCACCTCTCCCTCTAAAACAAGCAGTGTAATCAGTGGAAAGCAAACACTACATCAAGTTTCACTTTAAACAGCTCAGCTTGAGCATCATTTTCAGAACTTTTATCATTCTTTTGTTCGATTTCTTTGAATTAGATGTGCAGATCGTTGGAGTTTAAATAGTCTTGAAGGTAATCAAAACTGGGGGCAACACTGAGGGCAGAACAAAGTTTGTATTACAACTATCAGATGACAAAAATAACAAGTGGATTGTTTTTCTACTGGGGCCACAGAAATCCCACCCAAAATCAGGCCCTGATATCGTCATCCCACCTTTTACATTACTCTTCATAGCCTACCTCAATATCACATACGATTCTCTTTTATTTCACGAAACACAGTTGAAAAGAATTACATATCACAAAAAACGTTCCTGAAATTTTCAAGGTTTCAGTACATGCAGTTCAGTGACCTTCTTGGTGTCACGTTGAAATCTTTTCCTAAGTGTTGAGAAACTGTATCTGTAGAATCCGAAAAGGAATGCGTCTTTTCACAACTGAGGATTTTGATACAGAAACACCCAAGGTATGGTCTTTTTAATTTCAAGAAACACAGTTGAAATGAATTACATGTGGCAAAAATCTGCAATTTTTAAAGTTTCAGTACATGCAGTTCAGTGACCTTGTTGGTGTCATGTTGAAATCTTTTCCTAAGTGTTGAGAAACTGTAGACGTAGAATCCGAAAAGGAATGCGTCTTTTCACAACTGAGGATTTTGCTACAGAAACACCCAAGGTATGGTCCCGGCAGGAGAGCACAGCAAAAATAGCAGCAGAGGTGCAGCAAGTATTACCCCAGCTGCTGCTGAAATAAATCATGATCACGGACAATCATGAATGAAGACTATTTGGGTATGGCCGCCAATTTAGATTTCCTGCGACCCTCCTATCAAGTGTTAAACATTCTCACGTAATTACAACACAATCTCACAGAAATAGAGCTGACTGTTGGGGTATTTTAAGGAAAAAACTATTAAAACGAGAGTGAAGTTTGCTACATAAACACAGCAGGTGTAATATATGATGAGATTGTGCAGGACTAAGCCATAGTGATACTTGATCCAGCACAGCGGGTGGCCACATCAATTAAAATCATATTTTGGGATCATTCCAAAATAGGAGACAGACCTGGAGGAGAATACCTTCTCCAGGTTACATCAATGCAGTAGTAATAGACTAGCGGCTATTCCAAGATCAGGGTGCACCCCAGGGTGTTGCACTTGAGCCAATTTTCGCATTTTTCCACTTTCAGTACAGAAAATTGTAATACAAGTGATACCATGCATGATGCTTTTTAAAGTTTTGGATTGCACGATCAGCAGTTTAACTGTTGCGCTCCTTCAAACCTGAGTGCTTTCTTTTTTGGTCAGAACTTACAAATGTACCTTCATGTGCCTATTTTTAAGTGTAACAGTACAACATAAATTTTACGGCAATTTGGGGCACAAAATTGGTCCTAGCATAATGTCCTGAGCAAAATGTCTACCAAAAATTGATTTTAGTTGTGAAATTTTTTTTTAACCGTAGGTGATCCACATACATGTACCAAACCAATAAGTAGTTCGTGCTTGTAGCCTAAGTAATTTCAAGTGTGTACAATGGATACAACAGAACACATCCATAAATACGAAACAATCCCCCAAGAGTTCAATGTCACAAGTGTCAAGTTTGTAATGCAACAAGAGGTCTGCCAGATCATTCAACGACTGTATAACTGTCCCCTATGATACCCAATCAACCTATCAAAGACAGAGAATTGGTTACTGGATATTTGGAGCTGTTGACCCTATCAAGTGATCAAAGATGGCTCCCAACGATCCCAGCGGATCATTACTATTGCCTGTGACAAGATAAGGATTATTTGTCCCAAGATACCTTTGAGCATAAACTAGATACATCTCCCAGCTGTTCTGAGGTCAATTTGAGACAATGACTTTTGAAGGCCTTCTATATAGAGGCCCGCATACCCTTTTCTGTAGTGTAATCGGCCATTTTAATTCTACGTAGAGCGTACAATGTATATGGACCGCTCTAATTCAATGTAGAGCATAATTGGCACATTTTGCATAAAGCATAATTCTCCATTTTAATTCTACGTAATGCATTGTAGCTACCCGGAATTTATCGTAAAGCATAATGTGGAGGCTTCTTGAATTCAGAGTAATATGTAGCCAGCTCCCAAAATTTAGCATAGAGCGTTGTCGGGGACCCTCCCCCCCCCATGCAGGCCCTCTTTTATATATAATAGTATCCCATTGTTCATTTCTAACAACTCATTCTTCAAGTTCAAAAGCAAAAGATGACTTTTTCTGAAACTTTGGTCTGAAAGTAAATATTAACATTGAATACACAAATTTATGTCTTATATAAATTTTAAGTTTATCATCCTTCCTGCATAGAGACTTTATTTGCTGTTTCAAAACTTGTTTTTTCAACACCTGTTTAAAAGGCCTTGATGTCATTTGAGTGAAGATATAATTATATGATCTACTGATATTTTTACTCACTATTCCACAAAGCTTCAGGCGTTAGTGATAATGCTAATTATGATAACGTAGATCTCATAATTAACAAGAGGAGGAGACAGAGCTATTCTTGTTCTTGTTATGGTAAAATTTCTGGTGGTCATGTCTAGTGGGTAAGTATGATGTTTGCCATTCTTTCTGTGGCCAAATGAAACATCCCAGAAGTGGACTTAGTCCAAAGTACAGTGACATTGCATTTCTGGCAATGGTGTATGGCAAATTAAATCTTCTGTGACAAAAGTTTAACCCAACCTAATTTGTTGGTTCACAGATTCTCCCACTTCATTGTTTTCTGATTTGAAAAAAACAAACATTTTAGCCTCTGAAACAACTCCATAATGGTCATATTTTAGCCCCAACAGTTGAAAGAAGTCTCTTCTCTTCAGAGTTGTTTTAGTTTTTCCATCTATCAATGCAGTGGTTTGATTAAGATTTTGAAATTAATTGTTTGAATTATAAACCAGCTTGGTATGTTGACTTCATGACTCCTATCAGAGCATTTGGGGCTATCATAGAATGCCTAGGTTGTTGTTTTTTTTACCTGTCGCTTCATATTTTATCTGAAAAAACCGAGAGCAAAAAAATCAAAATGGTGTGGCCTTAGTGCTAAATATCGTTTGCAAATGAAGAGGCTGACATTTAGTTTATGTAGTATAATATAATATAAATTTGTTTCCCTTTAGTTCAAACACTAAACGAATCATACATTAGGACGTTTCATGCCAAGTTTTCACAATCATCTTGATGTATTCATGGTACACTCTCAAGTACAGGCTGACATTTGTAAGATTCATGATGTGTTTATCACTGAAGCAAGAATGTGCTGAAAACATTTAGTAGATATGTGGCACAAGCAACAACTTTCACATGACCTACTGTAGTACTGTTCAGTATCTCACTGAACTAGACTTATGGACAACAGTCTAGATCAAGTCCACAGGGTTTTAAATTTGACACAGTACTTTTCTCCGAAGATAAAAGTTGTCCAAGATTTTGAAAATTTTGTATTTTTTTCTACACAAACGATAAGTTTTTACAGATCTTACACGAAGATGTCAGATTTTTTTCTTTGGCCCGCAATATGGTTTGGTTTTGGACGTCTCCACGGTGCACATTTTAAAGATTGTTGAACCAGATTCTGGATGAGATGAGAGGAAGCGCTAGTCAAAGCTCCCCCCCGGGATTCTGATGAACAGATTTACAGCTTAGGGGGGCTCATCATACCTACTGGGTACATAAGTGTCTGCTAAAATTAACTTCACTATCTACCTAAACCTCACTACTTTATAGAGTCATGGCATATGACAAAAGAGTATCATTCTGTAATGACTTGAGTGTTATCTTTCAGCCTTGATAGAGGGCCTGCATGGGGGGTCCCAACAACGCTTTACGCTAAATTTTGAGTGCCGGCTACGTATTACACTGAATTCAGGAAGCCTCCCCATACGTTTTATGATAAGTTTCGAGAAGCTACAACGCATTATGTAGAATCAAAAAGGCGAATTACACTTTACGCAAAATGCGCCAATTGCGTTCTACGTTGAATTAGAGCGGTCCAGTTAAAATGACTGATTACGCTCTACGGAAAAGGGCATGCGGGCCCCCTTGATACAGAATACAAAAAGGATAAGGGGCAAAGGTTATGATGAGCAAGTGTAAAAATAACAAACAATTATTTGACTCCTTTCAAAACAGTCCTGCAAGAGTTGGTCATTTCTTTATAAACTGTCTAGATTGATGGTAAGAGTATGCAGAAAAAGATGCTTGCTTATCCTACTGAAGAATGATCTGTGCACTTTAGCTATAAAAATGTCATCAATAAACTTGCACCCTTTCGAAATCCGATCACCGGCATTTGAGCAATTTTGTCCCTGTAAGTACAGTTGTCACAATAAACCATCCAGCAAAGCGGCAATGTTGTCTCTGCCAGATGAAAGTGTTTTTGGCTGCTCGTCATTTGCCAAAAGGCTTGAAATTCAATTATAAGAATTGATGATGTTACTACATGACAGTGAGGGAAGACCATGACTTTTTCAGTTGCCATTAAGAATTATAAACCACTTAAAAAGTAATTTGCAACACTCCAGGCTTCCCTAGTAATATTACAGAGCCAACAGGTCATAGCCAATGTTGTCTGGTAGCGAAATTTTCGACTTGGGAAAGTTTGGGGCAAATAATGAAATAACTATGATGACAAAGTGGCTATGCATGTAAGATCACATCACAGGCCTAATTACTTTCCAACCAAATGTCGTTTCCAATTTCGAGTTTTGTCTGGATTCATGGATTGTGTGGTTGGGGCCAACAGTTGTTGGCTGTCGTCCAGCATTGCTAATACAACTGTGGGGCGTCTGGACATGATTTGTTTCCAGATAAGGCAAGCACACGTAAAACAGCACAGTCTTGGTTTCAACAACACTTGGGAAGAGTCTGACGTTTTTGTGTGCACGTCAACCGTTTCTAACGAACATGTAAACCTACCCTGATTTCCTGCTGACAAATAAGGTATTCACAGCAATCTTTTCACAAATTTACGACAGAGTCAAAATAGGACACATTGCTGTTTGTGACTACTTCTTCCCCACGCAAAAAAAAAAAAAAATTCAAGTAATGGCGTGCACATCAACCGTTTCTAACGAACATGTACATGTAAACTGACCTAACAGTTCCTGCTGACAAATAAGGTATTCAAAGTAACGTTTGCAAAAATTTACGACAGAGTCAAAATAGGACACATTGCTGTTTGTGACTATTTCTTCCCCATGCAAAAAAATGAAATTTCAAGTTAGGGTGACTCTTACCTATACCTGACTCTTTTCTCTATACCCATAATTTTGAGAATGACAACTCAAATACCTTCTACGTCAACTTACGCACATTATAAGCTTGATTTAGCTGATAGACTATCAACGGTGGAAATAGTTTCACAGTGGCTAAGTAATAAGTTCTTCCTCAGGCTATAAGACACAGCATGATAAGACGGTGTTCTCACCTTCACACTCGGAACTGTCCGACCTTGTCTGGTTGAAGTTCTCGTACGAGTCCCAACGGATCAGCGGATCGTTGGTGTTTGTGTCCACAGCGATGGTCTTCTCGTTCCTCACGATTCCATTCCCTTCGGAGAAGGCAACAAAAACACACCAGTTTTAACGCGACTGTCTTTCCAACCAACACACCGCCTCAAATCCTACCAAAACCACTAAGAAGCACCACAACACACTAGTAAAGGCAGAAGACTGGAAATGGACCGTACATATGATCACAGAGCCTTGGACCACATCATATCCGTAGCCATAGAGACAGCTAGCTCCCGGTGTCACAAAATCAATAGTTTGTGTGGGACGCTAGCTGCCTCCTATCCTGGGCAGTTAATGGTTCCTCTGCAGCTGCCCTTGAGTGGAAAGGGAGGTAGACTGATTTGGGCAAAAGCCAAGCTGTCCCCTGGGTTTGTCCATGACTCCTGAACAGTGTATAGTTTCCAGCCAACCCTAATGCCCCGCCACTGCCTATTGGTCCACAGCCTGCACAGAGGGCCATGAATACGATAATAGTATATGCCTCAGGGCTTGCAGGTTCTGAGTAAGAGCAGAGGGGAATCTGGAGGCATGAAAATGAGCGCAGCAAACTTCTGTTGGCCACATTTAGCCAGCAAATTGAATTAACAACCACAGGCAGCTAGCTGGAAAGACTTGTTGCCCCTCCCACTTTGACAGTCTAGCAGTCTCTTTACTGTGTACTTTTGAGGACAAATAACAGTAGGAATAGGAGGGGGCCTGCATGCCCTTTTTCGTAAGGCGTAATCAGACCTTTTTATTCTTTGTAATCCGTAGGCAGTCTCCCCCAAAATCAATGTAATTCGTAATAGATTAATAAGTCGTAATCAGCTCTGAGGCTTTAACGTAATTCGTAATTGGTGGCAAAAATTTTGCGTAATTCGTAATCACTACCCCCCATGCAGGCCCTCATAGGAGAAGTATCAGTACAAAATACATCCTTACCTTGCATGGGAGCAGGCGTAGCTGAGAAGATGAATTCTATCTTTCCGTTATCAGGAAAACGGTCGTCTGTAAAGAGGAAACAAAGAAGACATTTGCGTGCGTCACAAGCAGAGGCTTCTGCGAACCAAACTGACAAGTATATATCCTCTGCGGGCCAACAAGGCTATAATGTGGGTTTGATTTGTACAGTTGCTATGAACGTGATCCCCCCAATGTGACCCCGAACTTGTTTTCATATGATCCACCCAGATATTCATGGCATGGGAATGGACGATCACACCACCCCGCCGAAATATAGGCACCCTGATTGTCTGCCTTCAAAGCCACCTTCAAGGCTTCTAGGATCAACGTCAATATTTCATTTGACTGATTGTGTGTTAGATTGTTGGCAATGGGTAGGCGGCACTTCAAGCTATAATATAATGAAGCTGAAGTTCTACATGTGTGTTTTGGAAGCCAATTATTACGCTTTACCTCAAATTATGTTTTAGCTTGAAAATTCTCTTAAATATTTGTACTGTTTAAAAAGCAACAGTTTTGACATTAAAAGAAAACATATGAAAACATAAGGTAAAATGGCAATGGGTAGGCGGCACTTCAAGCTATAATATAATGAAGCTGAACTTCTACATGTGTGTGTTGGAATCCAAAAGCTTTACTTTACATTATGTTTCAGCATGAAAATTCTCTTAACTATTTGTACAGTTTAAAAATCAACAGTTTTGACATTAAAAGAAAACATATGGTAAAATATTTAAAATAAGTTATAATATAATGAAGCTGAACTTGTACATGTGTGTGTTGGAAGCCGTAAGCTTTACTTTACATTATGTTTCACTATGAAAATTCTCTTAAATATTTGCACTGTTTAAAAAGCAACAGTTTTGACATTAAAAGAAAACATATGAAAACATAAGGTAAAATGGCAATGGGTAGGCGGCACTTCAAGCTATAATATAATGAAGCTGAACTTCTACATGTGTGTTTTGGAAGCCATACGCTTTACCTCAAATTATGTTTTAGTTTGAAAATTCTCTTAAATATTTGTACTGTTTAAAAAGCAACAGTTTTGACATTAAAAGAAAACATATGGTAAAATGTCTAGGGTTGTTAAAATAAGACAAATGAAATCTGAGGTATGAAAGGAGTCGTGTACCCCCGCAAGTTATGACCAGATGAATCAGCAATTTTGCTGTCATGGCATATGTTGACAAAATGCCAGGATAAGCTGGTTTTATAAACTTTCGCTGGAAAAATATGCAACAATCAAGACTAACTGAACGGGGGTGTAAAGATTTAGACAAAATTGACAGAGAAAAAAGATTTTGAAGAAATTAAAGGATACAATGGCTAAAATCTAGAATAACATGAGACAAGACAAAAACTTTTGCACTGTACATGTGCCCTAAAAAAAATGCACTGAGGCCTAGGAAATAAAATGTTATGTTTCCTGTTTCAGTCCTGAAAAAAATTAGGGTCGGTAGGTAGGGATTTTTTTCTCTTCTTTTTTTTTTAGACTTTGTGATATCTATATAGGGTTCCAACTTATACAATACAGTTGAACAAAGTAAAACTTGCATGACAAGTTGACAACACTTTTATTTTCAATGTCAATGTTATAATCATAACCAATTGTACAATGTTTTATCACTCAGGTGTCAGATCATGGAGCTAGAAAAGGTTGATCAGCTCGAAAATGTCCCTTGCAGGGCTCCACCCCCCAAAAAAGTCGGCAGGTTTTTCTAGGGTCGGTCGGGAAACAGGAAACACAACATTTTTTTCCTAGGCCTTACAGTTTTCCACAGCCCCCCCACATTGTCACTGGTCTGTCCCTAACTAATGTACTGACCCCCCACATTGTTACTGGTCTGTCCCTAACTAATGTACAGACAGAATCCCTGTCTTTCCTAGCTCACAGCTGCAGCATGACAGATTGAATCACTGTGTACATAACAGCATACCAGTGCAGAGGGGTGAAGGAGGTTGGAGCCTCACTCACTACTAACATTCACAAACACGACCGTCAACATGTTATGCTGAATGAAGGGTTCTTCTCAAACTGTTTTCTTCTTTGCAGTATAAAGTTTTGTCTTTCTGTGATACAGATTATGTAGGAATGATCCAAGTACATTACCATAAGGCCACACCAATTTAATTTCTTGGTTAATGGATTTTTCTCCAAAAATAATGGAGCGGGCAAAAAAAAATATAAATAAAAACAGGCCTAGGCATCCTATTATGGCCGAAAATGGTACAATAGGAGCCATGAAGTCAACACTCCAGGCTGGTTCAAAATTTAAACAATAAATTTTGAAGTTTTAATAATACCACCGCATTGAAAGATGGAATAACTGTAACAACTAGGAAGAAAAGGGCTGTTTTCAACTGTTCACGGCAAAATATGAGCAGTTGATTCTGAATTTTTTTTTTTTTGCAAATCAGAAAAAAATGAAGCGGGTGAATCCATTAACCAAGTAATTAAATTGGTGTGTCCTAATGTACAACTGGAATTTCTTTTTTGAAATTCTGTTTTGGACAATAGAATTGTCAAGTAGACTGTTCCAAACTGTTATGTCTTTTTCCTCAGACTGCCAACAAGGTTGTTTAAGTTTGTCGCTAATTCTTGGCCACCATGTATGTCTGTGTACCTTTGAAAGCTTCATCCAGCTCTGCCTTTGGAAAGATGAGCCCGTAATCGGAGATGGCACACGTGTGGAACTGTACCCTGAAGATAACATCACGTGTGGCAGACCGGTACTTCTTATGGTAGCACTTGATCTGTGCAGATGGAAAAACCCACAGTTCTTTTTAAACAACACACACTTCAAACGTATACAGCCACTAGATACATTTTCTACATTAGGCCGAATAAAGTTATTGGTTCTCGGATTTTTACTGGAAAATAAAATGAGGCCGAGCAACATAAAAGTAAAAATGAGAGACCCAAATTACTATGTATAATACCACACTCTGGATAATAGGAGTGTAAGCATGATACTGTAAATTGTGAAATATTTGCAGCAGTTTTCTGTTGGCACTTCTAACATTTGATAGATTTTGCATTGTGCTATTATGGTTGTTTGAACCTCAAAAAGCCCACTCATGGTTTTCAATTTGAATGAATTTACAGTAATTTCTAAACATATACATGTCAATGAGATTCTGTAGGTACACAAGTCAGGAGCACATCTGACAAAAGAGATAAAATTTGCATGTACTCATTTGCAAATTCGTGATCTCCCGAATGAGACTGCAACACTGAATTGTACTAACCAGGATGTCTCCTCTCAGTTGCAGGCCCGGCTCGACAGCGATACAGATCCTACTCATGTCTGCTGTCACGTTACTGTGGGACAGACAGTCAACAGTCAGAAACAGGAAATTGTAACTACAGTATTCAAAGGCAATTCAAACTTTACTACTGGAAAAATATAGAAATTACTTCTGAACATCCTTCACTCTTCAGCACCACTAAGACCCCGTTCACACTCAAAAAATGGATCCGGATTGACTGGCAATCTCGATCAGAAATTCATCAATCCCGATCGACCTGTGCCTTCACACTTTATCGCGCATCGCGCACAGAAATGGATTGAGGTGTCATGTGATTGAGAGCCTGACATCTTGGATGCACTGGAGCCACTGCAACTCTGCCGTAAATTTTGTTCAAATTTTGTGAACGGGGTCTAAAATGAACTGGCAGAACTAGTCAACACACAGGAACTGGTAAAACATGTTGAACATATCAGTAACAACATGAATCAGTGAAAAAGTTCCTTATACATGACAATAGACTAAGTTTTCTGCCATCTCATTCTAGTGAGCCAAAGAAGAGTTATCTACATCACTTGAAACATCTAGAAGTAATCTCAAATGTCAAAATGACTTGTCAGCTTTCAAGCCATCATACACAGAGTTTTATAATACATGTACCTAACAGTTGCAGATTCTGAATGTTAAGAATTAGGAACTTACTACACTCCAGTTGTGTAGATGGGCTGCATAGCCTGATAGATCTTCACAAAAGGTCTGCAGCCTACAATCAAAAACATGTTAAGTATAATCTAATACTTCAAACATTCAAAATAGCATATCTAATTCTATTTCATAACGTAAAATTGAAACAAATGGTTAGTACAATGGTTGTTTTATCAAAATTGTAAATATTGATGGAATGGTGACAGAGTGACACAAGAAGAAAGTCTGGCTTTGACTTTCCAACTAATTTATTATCATAAAAAGTCTATGTGATCAAAATGCTGAAATCTTGTCACAACTGTAAGATAGCTGCTTATACAATGTATAATGAATTAATTTTGTAGGTCTTATATCAAGAAACATGGACAAATTTGACTAGGCAAATAAGTATTTCTCTGTTTAAGAGTCAGAAAAATTCACAAGTTATAGCCTGCTTTGTTGACATTATGACTTTGAGTCAATCATGATCAGTGTGAGCTATACATGTACTTACTGGTACATGTAGATACAAATGTACATTTTGTACATTTCAAAGGAGTTTTCGTACTCAAGTAAAAAAAGTACTCATTTACATTTAACACTTTATCAACTTTTTCATAACTTGAAGATGTGACAGACCCTGTCTTTGTCCATTCCCAGTTTTGTGTTTTGATGTTTTTAATCTTACCAATCTCTAAAATCCGTTGCAATGCTGTGCCACAGGGTACATAGGGTATGTGTGGGCACGGGTGGTCAGAACAGCAACACACAAAAAACACATACCAAACAACATAAAATCCATGCAAAAACAAAAATAACAACAACAACAACACAGGGCTAGTCAGGGACCAACTCAAAACTCCACCAAAAAAAACACAAAGAGCACCTGTTGCAGTCAAAAGTTAAAAAAAAAACTTTTTTTCAAAAGTACATTTTTTCTTCAATCCAAAAGCATTTCTTTTGTGAAGACTACAGAAACTTTGAGACAGTCCCTGAAACAAATCCTAGCCCTGCATTGGTCCAAATACAAAACAATAGCCTGTGATGCGACTCTACATTCTGCTAACTCCTTACGGCATGCAGTGGATGACACAATGACTGAAACAAGTACAGATGGAGGGACAGACACAGATGTATTCATGCAACCACAAACGTGCACAGTTTCCATTCTTAATGCATCTACCTTTTCTAGAGTTCCTGAATAGTTTTGTGGTTGTCAACTTAGAGGGAGCTTCTGTAGAAAATAAAGGTGCAAAAGGCAAGGGAAAACTAAAGCCATGTAGAGAAAGTCATCCACAGGTGACCTATCCACAGCATGCCATCCCTTAAAATAACACTGTGTAACTCACAACAATGCAAACATATGCACATATGCAAATACATTCTAATAAGATGCAAAAATTTTGCATAATCTATGCACCGTGCATAAACAACATAACAAGCAAGCATTCACGAATCCAAACTATGGTGACCTACAGCAATGTGAAGATAAAGTGGCTATGTGCTGCAGGTGAATCTTGGATAAGAACATGTACAAACAAGAACTTTGTTTTCCTTTGACTTACCTACCTGATAAAGCCACTGTATTCACAGATAGAGTATGTATGACCAAAATTGTTCGAATATACTTTCAATTGGCTCAATAACCATACAATAAATATATTGACATTTTGTATATGTAGAGCTACAGGTACTACAAATGTAGATCACCAAATCTCTGGAATATCTACTACTAGTGAAATAAACCCTAAGAGTTAACATCCAACTCTAACTACAATGAATTGGGACTTCCCTTAAATCTACTACTAGTATTTGGAGCAGCAAGGAACTGACTACATCACTAAATCACTAAAATATGAAGCAATACTTCACAATTCTGGCCATAGGACTATTATGATTGAACACCTGAACAAATAACAAAGTTAATCTTCTTCTGGCCACACCAATTTAATTTGTTGGTTCTCAGATTCGCCTCTTCATTTTTGTCTGATTTGCAAAAGAAAAAAAAAATTCTGGTTCTGAATCAACTTAAAAATGATCATATTTTGCCCCCAATAGTTGAGGGAAGTCGTTTTCTTCCCAGTTGTTACAGTTTTTCCATCTATCAATGCAGTGGTTTGATTGAAAGTTCAAAATTCAGTGTTTAAATTTTAACCCAGCCTTTTGTGTTGACTTCATGGCTCCTATCGTAGCATTTGTGGCTATAATAGGATGCCTTGGTCTGTTTTTATTTTTTATTTTTCGCCCTGTTGCTTCATATTTTTTCTAAAAAAATCAGAGAACCAACAAATTAAATTGGTGTGGCCTCCAGATGTTTTCGAAACAGAAGAGGGGACCTGTCGTGAGTAAAGGTTCAAATTGAGAGGAAAATACAGGTAAATTGAAGTCTTTAAATAGACAAAACTTGTTTAAAACAAGTATAGATCAATACCTCCTTTGGAGTCAAAGTTAGGGATGCCATGGATGACAATGTTGTGCAGGAACAGGGGGTTGTTGTTCATCTTGATGTTGCCTGACAGCAGACCGGCAAAGTAGTGTACATATCTGTGGAGCCAAGTACAAGTAATGAACTATGTTTCTGTGTACAAATAGGTAAATATATCAAAGAATGTTTAGGCCTTAGAACAAGTAGTATTAGTTGACCCATCTATTGTTTTGTACGTAGGTTAATTTCGTTGTACCCATGTATTTGTCTCTATATCTACGCAGTTTTAGACCTTACGAAAGTCGCTGTACTTTTGTTGTGTCAATAAAGTTCTATGTTAGGACTTCAGACAATGATGAAATTCACAGACACATCGACCCATTCCCTTCTTTAAGGCATTCAATGCAGTTTTTAGGGCTTGGAAACCAGACTTTTCAGAGCCAACATTCTAGTCATTTATCTAGTATTGTTGTACATACTAAGGTGAAACCACACTATCCCAATGCACATTGACCCTCGTGGAGCAAAAATTCCCAAAATTCTGACAGAAAATGGTTACTGGAAGGGACTTGGGCTGATTTTTAGGGTACCACCAAGAAAATAAAGGACTCATCTTGGGGTTTGAAATACTGATTGAAATGTACTAATGTGGGACAGTACAATGTATGTCATACAGATTGCCACGTTAAGACTATTTCCAGTTTTGCCGCCCTGAAAATTACATTGGATGCCTTTAAAACATTTTGATCATTCCCTCTCCATTTCCTTTTCTTCCTCTTGACCTTTCTAACTGACTAGGCTTTGAACCACAGACTACTGTAGTAATTGGGCAGTAGGTCACAGCATCTGGTAAAGTACAACCCAACATCTGTGATGAATATTCACGCTAATCTAGTCTTGCTTGGAGGACATTGAAACCGTTGGCACAAGTCCAGCTACTTGGGTCAGTGACTACACCTTATAGAATGGCTTCCAGACAACTTTTCTTGTTGTAGCTGTGTTTTCTGTCCATTAAAACTGATGTTTTAATCCTCATCAACAACCACTTGTCCATGGTTACAAGCAATTGGGGCCGTTTTAATTTTACGTAGAGCGTAGATGGACCGCTCTAATTCAACGTTGAGCGTAATTGGCGCATTTTGCTTAGAGCATAATTTGCCGTTTTAATTCTACATAATGCGTTGTAGCTTATACCCAGAATTTATTGAATTCTTGACTTCAGCGTAATACGTAGCCGGCTCTCAAAATTTTGGCTCTCAAAATTTTGCGTAGAGCATTGTCAGGACCCGCCCCCCCCCACCCATGCTGGCCCTCAAAGAGATGTTTTTTCCCTGGCAGGAACAACCACATGTTCTTGATATCAGTTTGCAATACCCTTTATTGACTAAAGAACTTTGTCCTTAACAAAACACTATACTTCATTTTACACTGGAACATCTGTTAAGCTGTGAAAGTCAAGGCTACACCTGCGAAGTTGTAAACATTTCAGTGTTGAATTCATGCACAAATGTAACACCAACTTCCTGTTGAGCTCATGCAATGACGTTTTGGTATGGCTTTCAGCGAAACATGGCCCAATCTAAACCTCCAGATATAAACAGAGATCTGCCATAGACCACTGTTTTGCCAAACAGTTTTGTGGTCTGTGAGAATGAGGTAGGCCATTCATTTTTACCTCCATGAAAAATGGAGGTATTGTTTTTGTGTCTGTCTGTGTGTCTGTGTTTTCTCAATTCTGTGGTCAGCATAACTTCAGAATGCCTTTATGGATTGTGATGATAGTTGGTATGTTGGTAAGTCTTAGGAAGACAAATGTCAAGGTGAAATATGGGCCTCCTGGTGGCTGACCTTGGTAGTGCCGCAGAACTTTCAGTTTTTGTATCGTTGTATTTATGACTTTGTTTCAAAGTCAGTGAGACAAAAAACATTTACAAAAACACATATATTTCATGGAGGTATGAGATCTCTGAATTCTTGTTTTTTCATGGAGGTTAAAACAGGACTTTATCACCAGCTTTTACAACTGTTGCAAATATCTTTGATAGGATTGAGTCAGAAAAACAGACATATATGGAAGAAACAGTTCAAATCTAATACAATTTGCCAAAGTGTATAAAGGGGTTTTGCTGTCTTCATATGGCAAGTGTCCATATTCTTTTTCACCTAAGGCAATAGAAGATTGTCGGAGGTCTTTTTCTACTATTTTGGAAGCCCTTAATGTTTATCTGGCACAAAACATCAGAGACCACCTTTTGACATGGCTACAAGCCATGCTTAGGTTTCCAATATATACACATGACAAGCTTTCAAATTCAATGTGGGGAGCTTTCACTGGTCCAAACCTACAAACAAAAAGTGGTCAACTTCGGCAAAAAAACAACCCTTTTTTGGCATAGCTGGCATTTTGCAGCTGGAGGGTTTTCTTTCTTTTTATTTCCTTGAAAAAACTGGCCTTTAGGCCACACCAATTTAATTTCTTGGTTAACGGATTCGCCTCTTCATTTTTTTCTGATTTGCAAATAAAAATAAAAATTCAGAACCAACTGCAAAATGCTCATATTTTGCCCTGAACAGTTGAAAACAGTCATTTTCATCCTACTTGTTACAGTTATTCCATCTTTCAATGCAATGATATCATTAAAAGTTCAAAATTCATTGTTTAAATTTTGAACCAGCCTGGTGCGTTGACTTCATGGCTCCTATCGTACCATTTTGGGCCATAATCGAATGCCTAGGTCTGTTTTTATTTTTATTTTTTTTTCGCCCGCCCGCTCCATTATTTTTCTGGAAAAATCCGTTAACCAAGAAATTAAATTGGTGTGGCCTTAGACTTGTTTTTGATTCTGGGTAGAGCTCTAGAAGTGATGCTATGTTGTTGTGTTTGGTAGTGATCAGGGGGGTCAGAGGTCATTGCGGCCATCCTATGACGAACTTTCGCCGATACAAAAATATGAATTTTGTGCTAAATGGACAATTTGGAGGCCAAACTACCCTGTCAATGTGAGTTTCAATAGTTGAACACAAGTGTAGGTGATTTTTGACAGCTCAGTTCTTAGATGTTTATACCAATATATTTCAATTGGAGCTTGAAATGGTGATCTGTGCCCATGTATAAATGTAGGAACTGTGTAAGAACCATAACTTTGAAACTTACCGCCTCTGAGATGGTTGAGTCACCCCCGCAACTTTCTCATCATAAAACCGCTTCATGGCAAACCTGTCTAGTGCCTGCTCCGCACTGCAGACAAAATATAAAAAGTTTTATAAGAACTATAAGAAGATGAGAAAAGTACAGGAAAAATGTATTTTTCAGCATGATTGACAACTATATGTTCATGTATATTCAAAGACGGGTAACAATCTCATAACATGTTTGACACTGTTATCAGTGACTTGCATCATTTCAGAATCTGCATCTGGACCATGTAATAAAATGTATGCAAAAACATTTGAGAAAGTTCATGACTAAAGAATGTCTTCTTTAGCTTTTGAGACTCTCTTTTTCCCTAGCCTCCACAGCATGCCAAAAACTGGGGGGTCTTCAGGGTCTTTGGGAGCTTTTATGTGCTATTTTCTGATTGCATATAGACAACATAGCCGAAGACCACCAAACCGCCAGTTCTATAGCACGTCGGCAGAACGTACTGCACCTGCGCGAAACCCGTAATGTATTGTACATAGCATTTCGGCAGAATGTCTCATATAAGGTTGTATTCGCTCATATAAGGTTAGCATTTTGACAGTAGTTTCCAAATGTCATGTCGGAAATAATATCATCTGCAACAAGCAAAATTCTGATGCAACGTTGACCAAAAGACCAACGAAAAATGCGAAAATACGGGGTTCTGCGCAGGCGCAGTACGTTCTGCCGATGTGCTCAGTTCTTATAATAAGCCTGCTACGGAGACCACTTTTCCCATGGACTACAGGAATTTTGCCTGAACTGTGACAAAGGTCTTGGAAGTCTCACACAGGGTAAACAAATGAGGGCTGTCAGCGGATTGTAATTATCCCCCCAAGCCTTATTCAGCCTCACCCCCACTAATAACACCACTGCAGCTGTGTAACCTGCGCCCCCCTCCCACATACATTAATCTCTCCATGGGCAACCACTGTCTGCAGGGTTTAACCTTTAACAACCCTGGGCAGGAGTAAGCCTTCAATGTCAAGGCTCCTGCAGCTAGCAGAATGCTGTCTGGAAATGGCAGAACTTCCATTATACAACAAACAGTTAGTTTCCCAATGTTTGGTTCACATAGCTGGATTTCTGGTCACAGTAAGTAATTTTTATGGATGACATAAGCATTAATTTTTTGATTTTGACAAAAAAAAAAGAAATTTTGTTGCCCTCTGACAGTGGTCAACATGCCGAAAATGGGCAAAGATGTCTGTTGCCATACCGGAAGGTGGATGGCAGATAACTATGAAGAGACAAGAAAAGGCTCTGATTTAATGGTTTGTTTCTTACTTTGATGCGGTGATATGTGATGCTGGCTGTGTATATGCGCTGTTTTCAATGAATCAAAACCATTTGTACAATGATTGAGTCAAAATTTGAGAATGTAGGACCTTGTTTTTTCGGCCCGCCTTGTTTTTTTTCACCCTCTTGCATTAGATTTGGAGTCTGTGGAGGATGTCATCCATAAAATTTACTTGCTGTGGCCTAATCTTCAGGCCAAATATAGGCTCTCAATACTTCAATCTCAGTGTTTTCGTGACCATTTTTCTGGCATTGTAGTACGTCTTTTTAGTAGTACACTTTTTTTAACCTTCTCGGATTTCTCTTACTTTTACGGGGTGCGGATGAGAGAAAAACATGGACCACTAGTAAGACTCAAAAACATGCAAACATTCGGTAGGAGTTGTGCTTATAAGCATTACTAATATATAGAGCTATGGAATAGAGAAATGTCTCTCTGGTAAAATATCACTTCATAACTGATCCCTTTTATCTAGTGGTAAAAATAAACATTTTACCAAATGACCTTCACAACAAACAGTCTAAAGTGAAGCTGCCTGTAACAGCTTGTGTCAAGGCTTAACAATCGACAACGAAAACCACATACATTTTCTCGCTGACAACTGATTGTTCCAAACAACGCACAGCCCTTAAACCCTGCGGCAATTTGGAAACATCTGCTCTTAAATTTCCTTCCATTAGTAAATGTCATGTCACCCCCAGCTGCTCCACATGTCTAGATCCACCCACACTAGTTTCCTACAGAATTTACACTCCACAATACTCCCACAGAAATGCTATACACCCTCCAGGATGAAAACACAACCGTCTGTCACAATGACATAGTAAGTTACTAATAAATAAATAAGTTACTCTGGGGGAGTTCAAGGTGAGGTACGAGTTATGAATTGCACCGGAGGGCCACACCAATTTAATTTCTTGGTTAACGGATTCGCCCGCTTCATTTTTTTCTGATTTGCAAAAAAAAAAAATTTCAGAATCAACTGCAAAATGCTCATATTTTGCCCTGAACAGATGGAAACAGTTCTTTTATTCCTGGTTGTCACAGTTATTCCATCTTTCAATGCAGTGGTATCATTAAAAGTTCAAAATTCATTGTTTAAATTTTGAACCAGTCTGGTGTGTTGACTTCATGGCTCCTATCGTACCATTTTGGACCATAATAGGATGCCTAGGCCTGTTTTTATTTATTTTTTCTCGCCCGCCCGCTCTATTATTTTTCTAGAAAAATCCGTTAACCAAGAAATTAGATTGGTGTAGCCCTAGTTTCCTACAGAATTTATACTCCCCTACTCCCACAGAAATGCTATACACCCTCCAGCACCAAACTGGAATTAAAACACCACCGTCTGTCACAATGACATAGTAAGCTACTCCAGGGAGTTCAAGGTCGGGAATGAGTTATGAATTGCACCCTAAGGCCACACCAATTTCATTTCTTGGTTAACGGATTTTTCTACAAAAATAATGGAGCGGGTGGGCGAAAAAATAAAAATAAAAACAGGTCTAGGCATCCTATTGTGGCCCAAAATGGTACGATACAAGCCTTGAAGTCAACACACCAGGCTGGTTCAAAATTTAGACAATAAATTTTGAACTTTTAATGATACCACTTCATTGAAAGATGGAATAACTGTAACAACTAGGAAGAAAGGGACTGTTTTCAACTGTTCAGGGCAAAATATGAGCATTTTGCAGTTGAATCCGAACCAGAATCTTTTTTTTTGCTAATAAAAAAAAATGAAGCGGGTGAATCTGTTAACCAAGAAATTAAATTGGCGTGGCCCTATCCTCCCACAGAAATGCTATATACCCTCCAGCATGAAACTGGAATTAAAACAGGACCGTCTGTCACAATGACATAGTAAGCTACTCCTGGGTGAGTTCAAGGTCATGAATGAGTTATGAATTGCATCCTAAAAGCAATTTTCTGAGGACAGCTTTGGGGTAGACTTGATGCTACTGCATTTTGAGATATCTTGTCATTAGATAGCTTTAAACAATGTTTAGAGTTGGCTGTTCAAGGGGTAGGTGTAACAAGTCATTCGGTGCAATGTAGCTAGCTGCCGCTATGCCGCGTGCCTGCGAAGCTGGTGTGTTACGCTGAAGAGCAGTTATACCGGTTATACCGATACAGATCTTGGATTCTGTGTGGATGTATACCCCTTATCTAAGAAGCATGTCGGCAGAACGTACTGAACCTGACCAAACCCCCCCTATTTTTCCCTATTTTCCTTGGATTTTTGGTCAATGTTGCATCAGAATTTTGACTGTTGCAGACGTAATGTTAACCATATATGGGCAAATACAACCTTTTTGATTATATGAGACGTTCTGCCGAAATGCTATGCTAAATACATTACAGGTTTCTTGCAGGTGTAGTGCGTTCTGACGACGTGCTTAGCTAAGATGAATTCACAAGTCTACTGACTATCGTAGCTAGCTTGGTACATGAAAGATGTTATAGTCAGTCATGATGTTTTGTACAGGAAGGATGACTACTATATGCTTAGTAGCAGATTGTGGGGAGTGGACGAAAGCTAAAAAGGCTGACACTCAGGCTAAAGATGACTGGGACTGTAGGTGAAAATCAGGTCTTGTACATGTAGACACATAAAACATGCTGTAAAACTTTCTATGCTGAAAGCCAACATGTGTTACAGTACAAGAGTTGAAACCAACCTGGCACAGATGTTACTGTAGTGCATGTACGCTGCAATCACCACTCCTGTTCTTCCTTTGCCTCCCTGCAAGTAAAAAAGTATGTTTTAGTCAAAAAAGTATGTTTTAGTCAAAAAAGTATGTTTTAGTCAAAAAAGTATGTTTTAGTCAAAAAAGTATGTTTTAGTCAAAATTTTCTAACATTCATTGTACACAGACATTTAAAACAATCTACAATGCTTTTCTTCACCTTACAAACAATTTGCCAATAATATTCATAGATTTACAACAATACAAAAACAAATACAGTGAAGAATACAGAGGATATGGAGATAATTTTTTCTTTCCTCCCTGTACATTAACGATCATGAAATCTTGCATCTGTCTCCAGTGAGTGTCCCCAATCCGGTTTAAGAAAACAAACAGAGGACTGACGTTGTTTACATTTAGCCAGTTTGTAAACAAACATGCTAATGGGCTGGATCTTCACCTGATCAGGTGTTCAGGTTCTCAGGTGACAGTCTTCGTGGCATGACCTACATCTTTTCCAGAGGTCAACTCTAGCAACTTTTAAAGGCATCCAATGCTATTTCAGGGCAGCAAAACTGGAAATATTCTGAATAAGGCAATCTTTGTGATGTTGACACATACTGCTTCACATTTGAATCAGTATTTCATTCTTTAGGCTTTTAAAACTTCAGAAACACGCCCTAAAATGAGTCTTTATTTTCTGGGTGGTACCTTAAAAATCAACCCAAGGCCCTTCCTGTGACCATTTTCCGTCAGAATTTTGGTAATATTTGCTCCATAAGGGTCAATATACATTCGGACAGTGTTGTTTCAACTCTATGTAGATAGTATGTAGATAAATGACTAGAATATTGGATTTGAGAAATCGGGTTTTCAAGCCCTAAAAACTGCATAGGATGCCTTTATACATGTAGGTAGATTTATAGAACTTTTTGCCTCATTTTCAGGGTAAAATCCTAAATGATATCAGTCCTACAGCTTTGGCTATGGCTGAACAGTTGTATCCGAGAATGATATAGTCTCTTCCACACAGGGCACATTTTTTGCCTCATGAGGTCTTCAAAAATGTTTTTCCTACATGGAAAAACACGTTTTTCCACTAATTTGACAAAATGGCCAGTCCGGCAAAGAGGTTTCGGCACAATGGCCCTCAATGAGAGAGATCAGGAAGAAACTTTTCAAAAGATTCCCTTTAAAAAGACATTATCTATTATCTAAAAACTATTCTTCTTTTAACTTCCCAAAACCCACTAATTTTGGAAAAGGTGGGACATTACGTCTTCCATGGTCTAAAAAAGAGAGGTCAAACCCCTTAGACATAGTTTTAGACATAGCTATAGCTTTAGACAACTACCTTTTATCATGTAGATTTTAATTATTTTATACTCTGTTTCATTATTCTTTTATGTTTGTAATTTGCAATTAGCCTCCGGGCAAGAATTTGCAATAAACTTCTCTATCTAATTGGCAATAGAGTGAAGTAGTGAAGTACTGATTGAGACAACTAGATGCCAATACACATCCCCTACAAGCTGAAAGTAGCAAATGGACTCCCTGGGGACCATCCATTATTCTGAACAATGGGTACTTACAAAGCAATTAGCACCTGTCTGATAATTAATTGTGCTCCACCCATAGGACCACCTCTTGCAAGATTTCACAGTTTGGCATAAAGTTTTCACACCTATCAAAAGGTAATACTGAAAGAGATTTTCTGAACGATTGGAAAACAAACAGAACCAAAAACACTAGAGATATTCAAACTTTCAGGACGTATTTTGGGTTTCTGTGACTTAAATTTCACCCAATTTCGTATATGTTTGACCTGGTGATTTCCTAGAATTCTGCCTGTCAATCTTCCCCCATCCATATGCTGTCAACCTATGCTATATGGGCAAACAGACACATAAACCCACAGCATAACCACTCAAGATATTTGTTTAAAGTTAAAACTTTTGGTCCAACACTAAAAATTCTCTCACCTAGAGCTTTCAACCAGTCACTCTGGTCTTCCTCAGTAGACTGACCCAAGATATTACGCGTAAAATTGGTTGGGGTCAAAACTGTAAGTCCATGTTCCCTAAAACCCCCAAGAATACCCTTCACTTCACCACTAAATCTGTGCCTACCTTGCAGTGCACAACCACCACATGGTTTGGGTCAGAGTTCAGCCAGGAGTCCATGGACTTACAGATGCTGCAGAGCCGCTCCAGGGGAGGGGCATGGTGGTCTGGCCAGCCAAAATCCAACACCTACAGGTCAACAGGCACAGGGTTAGGACAGACAGTCGAATCATGAAGATTTAACATGTGGTGTTCTCCTTTTGACACTCGAAAGGAGCAGTACATTTTAAGTAGAAATGATAGGGATCAAATGATAAAGTTAGGGAGTCAACATGGTAGGATATGATGGTGTGGATAAAAGGTTTAGGAAGTCTACAGTAATAACAGACCTCCATTATCAAAAAAGTCTTCAGAATCCAGTAAAATTATACAGCTTTACTAGGAGAAATCTAGTTTTTGACAACAGATATGGAGCTGAGGGATTTCTGAACAAGTACTCCTAGTAAAAGTTTAGGAAGAGTAGTAATTCCCTGTTCCCTCCTCCGAAGATTTCAATTGCTACATTTCTTTCTTTCAAAGGCTATTTGATATCCCCGCAAAAGTCCATCATTTAGCAGTGGTATAAATACTTTTTTCAGTGTCCTGCAATATTGCAGAATGTCAAAATTTTGTTCTGGACTTCAGAAATACTTTCTGCAACTACACACTTAAAAGTCCGGATCTAAACCCATGGCATATACAAAATTGCATGTTTGCAAACATTTTACGTGCAATATTACTTGTATATCATAGAGTCAGTAGTAAACACAAAAGCTCTTGAACACCATTGAACCCCTAGTCTGATTTTTTTCAGTCTGCAAAATTGCAGGTTGCCTATTCTTTTCTTCTTTTGCAATATTGCAAATATCTCTGCAAAATGCAGACGGATATTTCTAACACTGTTTAGAGAAAAAGCAATTGAGTGGGTCCCCAAACATTTAAATTACAAGTAGGTTTAAGTTCAAATGGTTCATCTTTTTCAAGGATGGAAACAAAAGTAATATCATTTCAACTGGAAATTCAATGTGGCACTGCACACAATGAGAAGAGCTCAGGGGGAAAATAGAGGGAAGGGAAGAAGACTGAGAGGTATGCTTACATCAGGACATCCCTGGATACATGGAAGAAAGAGAGCATGAATGAACAAACAGGAAGATGACACCAGATGGACACCAGAGCTATTGGATCATCATGCTTGTGCAATGATTATTTCCAATGTTGTTTACTTTACCTTTAGGCCACAGCAAGTAATTTTTGTGGATGACATCAGCGCGCACCCATTGATTTTCATCTGATTTTAAAAAAAGAAGAAATTTTATTGCCTTTTGATAGTGGTCAACATGCCGGAACATGCTGGAACGTGGATGGCAGATATTCATGAAGAGAGGAGACAGGAAAAGGCTCTGATTTAATGTTTTGACTTTTACATTGATGTAGTAATGTATCTCATTCCTTTCATATGTTCCCCCTGAATCAAACCCATTTGTACAATGATTGAAAACTTTCCTTTTTAAAGTTGTTTCAGTGACAAATGGATGTTGTGACAGTTGGCAGTAAAGTTAGCACAATATAGGTAGCGTTTCTTGTTTAACAGGGTTTATGATGTCAAAATTTCAAAATATAGAAATCTTGTTTTTTGGCCCGCCTTCTTTTTTTTTGCCCGCTCGCATTAGATTTGGAATCTGCGGAGGATGTAATCCATAAAATTTACTTGCTGTGGCCTTACCTTTACTAGACAACTATAGGAAAAACATAAGAAGGAAGTATGAAAAATCATGGAGGATGTTGAAACAGCAACTCAGTTGCTGGTCCCAGGAAGGCAGTACTCACTTGTGTGTTGAGCTTGGATATGTCGTACCTCTTCTCAGATACATTAAAGATCTGCAAAAGATACACAAATATAGTATAGACTTAGACACTACACTTTGCACGTGTTCCTAGTCCCAAAGTATACTTGTCATAAAAATTGTTATCTTTCCCTTACAACACTAGAATTATCTTAAGTTATCTAAACTTAGAAAGTAGACTTTGCATGTGTTTCCAGTTGCAAAGTATACTGGTAATAAAAAACAAATTGTAATCTTTCCCTTACAACACTAGAATTAATTTTTCTATGATACATTTCCTCCAATAACAACACATTGTTATGATCAAATTTTGATATGTAAATGTACCACTGTCAAAATCAAATTGCACTAGAGCCACAATTCAGGTGTAGCAGGCTGGCATATGTCCCTGACAAAATATACCCCGGTTATGTGCTGGTTAGGGGTACATTTTGGCCTGCTACACCCTTAGCTGTCACCACAGCAAATCCCACTTTCCAAGCTGCCAAAAACGTGCCATGATTATTAGCATCAAAGCCATAATTCAGGTGTAACAGGCTAGAATATGTCCCTGACAAAATATACCCAGTATATGCTGGCCAGGGGTACATTCTGATGAGGGGTATATTCTGCCCTGCTACACCCATAGCTGTCACCACAGCAAATCCCACCTTCCAAAAGCTGCCAAAAACGTGCCATGATTATTAGCATCAATAGGGCCATTACTTCTTTCTTGACATTTATGTACTAACAATACATTCCCTCTTGGTTCCAAGCAGACTAGACTGTGCTCCCCGGGGATTTTTAAGAGTGATTTACCATGTAGTTGTCTCCGTGTTTAGTCTGCAGCATCTTGGCCACGTCCTTCAAGTTGTTCCTATAGGTGGACTCCAGACCTCCAGCAGGGAAGGACATGGCTGCAGAGGGTACACAAGATGATACTGTTAGTTTATAGATACCAACAAAAATGACACCTGCAGTTCCAAAGAACCTGCTAGGGGGCAAAACTTAGCTGTCATAATCTGCTGGGAAGGTCTTGGCTGCAGGGGGTATACAAGATGATACTGATTGTTAGATACCAACAAAAATTCACCTGCAGTTCCAAAGAACCTGTTAGGGGGCAAAACTTAGATGTAATAATCTGCTGCTGGGAAGGGCTTAGCAGCAGAGGGTACACAAGATGATACTGTTAGTTCGATACTAACAAAAACACCCCTGCAGTTCCGAAGGACCTGTTAGGGGGCAAAACTTAGATGTAACAATCTCCTGCTGGGAAGGACTTGGCAGCAAGATGACAGTGCTAGTTATCCTCTTTTCAATGTTACCAACAAAAACACACCTGCAGTTCCAATGAATGTGTTAGGGGGCATCTCAGATATTTTTGTAGATGTAGAAGGACATTTACATATAGTTTTGAGTTAAGAGGTTTTCAAATCATTTTATTTCCATTTAATAGGTACATTATTACAAAAGTATTTAAGAAAACATATTGAAGCGAACATAAACATCTTGCAATGCTGCATACATTCTTTCGTCAGATTAACAGGCTGCAGTTTGAAAGGAAACTGCTAGGGTGTGCATGAATCTGTTTCATCCCAAATCACACAACTATGCAATCATGGCAATATCCTGTATATAAAGAAAGATACAAACTTAAATAATAAAAGGAAGCTGCTAGTGACCCCAAAAGCTAATATCTTTTCAAGTTGGATAATACTAAATCTTGTTATTGTGTAAGAAACAGGAGGAGCGAGTAGAGACAGATAAAAACCCCTGTTCCCGGGTTGGGGTTCGAACCCACGACCTCCTGAGCACCAGCTTCAGACGCTCTAACCACTTGGCTAAAAGGTCTAGACCCCTCAGCCGGATCAGTTGGTAGCGCCTATAAACCCCCACTGTTACACTTGGTAGAAAAAGGACTTCTGTATGTGGTACAATAAGCATGTCTGTGGTCTGGTATCATGCCAAATGTTCCCCACTTCAGTAATGATTATACCATACTTCAGCCAGGACAGGGACAGACCCACACTTTCCTGAGTTCTAGGCCACAGCAAGTAATTTTTATGGATGACATCAGCGCGCGCATTAATTTTCGCCTGATTTTGGAAAAAAAAACAATAAATTTTGTTGCCTTCTGACAGTGGTCAACATGCCGAAAATGTGCAAAGATGTCTGCTGCCATGCCGGAAGGTGGATGACAGATAACTATGAAGAGAGGAGAAAAGAAAAGGCTCTGATTGAATGTTTTGTTTCTTACTTTGATGCAGTGATATGTGATGCTGGCTGTGTATATGTGATGTTCCCACTGAATTAAAACCATTTGAACAATGATTGAGTCAAAATCTTGGAACCTTGTTTTTTTCGGCCCGCCTTGTTTTTTTCCGCCCGCTCGCATTAGATTTGGAGTCTGTGGATGTCACCCATAAAATTTACTTGCTGTGGCCTTGCATTAAGGCCACAGTTTTTCCCCAAAGCTCAGAGGAAACTCTACAGACAGTTCAGTAGGGCAGACCAAAGAGATCACCTGAGGTTTAGCTAATAGCTGTGGTGAGGAAACAAGAGATCACGGGTCTTTAGGACCTGCTTATTCTCGGCTTTATACGAGCTTACAAGGTGTTAAAACTTGGCATTTCACTGACTTTCCCACACTAGGAAACATTCGACTTGACTTTCTATAATTCTACCAAGAAGGTGTCACCCGTACATGTAACTTGACATCTTATACATGTAGGGCTATAATAATGAAAGATTCTCTTCAATTGTATACAAGATTATTTCCCTAGTTCTAGATTTTTAGATAGAAAAGAAAAATTCATATTCCTCATGAAACTCGATAATCCTCGTACTATAAGCTCCATCTGTTCTTACATTCACAACTGTTTAAAGAAGAAGCGAGAAGAAGCAGAACCTGTACATATGTAGTTTTACTGTAGATATATTTTAGTTTACCATCGCTATTTACCATGACATGCACTTAGTTCGCAATGAGCAAAAATATACAATAACGGTCTTTCATTAATTAATTTTAATAAAAGTGGAAGTTTTTACTTCAAGGAATCTAGATCAGTTCAACACTGTATAACAAAAGGAAAGCACCAAGATCTCACGTAACGTCTAACCATAGAAAATCCACTACAATACAAAGTTCACGGCTGCCTTGTTCGTTTGTTTTCATACGCCCCTTTCTTGCCCCTGGACAGCATTTTGTTCCCAGTAATTACCACAGCTAAGTAAATGTCCGGGGACCTGTGTGTATTTTCCTTTTAACCCACAGGCGGTTGGCCACACTGTCTCCTACATGAGTTATCACCGCTAAGCTGTGCCACATGTTCGCTGAAATGTCCTGAAGTTCAAGTTCTGACCCTTTGTGTCTGGTTAATCACATTGTCAAGTACACCCTGGTTGTGAGAACGGTTGCCCCCCTCCCCCACTTCCTTATGACCTTGCGCTGCCCTCTGGTTGAATCAACACTAACTTATCTACATTCACATTGAAAACACATAAAAACCAAGCCCTAGTGTATCTTGTTTATTCAGGCCTACCACAAGGGCATATCCATATGTATTCTTAGAAAAAAAAAATCAAATTGCCAAACCATGATGGCAGTTTTACTACTCTGGGCTTTTCTTTTCTTCCTGCTATAAAATGCCACAAAAACGTCATGTAAGTAAAACACTAACCTGGAACCTAAATCTGCTTGGAGATAACTCAAAAACAGTTTCAAATGTGCTTAAGTCTCCCAGTTGTTGCTATGAAGTTGTCCAGAAATAGAAATATCTAGTTAGGGAGTTCCTATCTTCATCCTTGGCCAACAAAAAGGAGCAACTCCACTGGGAGATGTTTGACCTACATTACTTTTATTTTGTACACATCTTTTGAATGGGATTTGAAACTTGTCTACTGGTCAGCTATTTACTGATCTACTCCACAACAACTAGACATCAAACTTTTTCCACTTCCAGATCAAGTAGCCTTCCCAAAGACACATTAAAGGCATCCAATATCATTATAGGACAGCAAAACTGGAAATATTCTGAATAAGGCAATCTGTATGATATTGACACATTCTGCTTCACAACATTAGCACATCATTTCATACTTTGGGCATTTAAAACTGCAGAAACAAGCCCCAAGATTAGTCCTTTATTTTCTGGGTGGTACCCTAAAAATCAGTCCAGGTCCTTCCAGTAACCATTTTCTGTCAGAATTTTTGGAATTTTTGCTCTACGAGGGCCAACATACGTTGAGATGGTGTGGTTTCAACTTAGTATGTAAATAAATGACTAGAATATTGACGTTTCCGAGCCCTAAAAACTGCACTAGATGCCTTTAAGAGACCGAAACAACAAATTAGGAAGTTTATACTAAGTGACACAGAAAAGAAGCAGTCCAGAGTCTGTTATCTACCCAGCTGTTGGCTGAAGAAACACTGGTAGTCCCAGTGGAGTACATAATTAATTACATAATCACAAGGACATCAGCTTTATCTCTCATGTGTAAACAGGCTTATCCAGGAACCCTCCCATATGCCACATGTCTGGACAACCTGTCTGTTGTGATTTACTGACAGTCTTTTTGATTTACAGGTCTTCAAGAAGTCTTTGGAGGTTATGATCAAACAAAGTAAGGTATAGCAACAGAGATGAAGATGATGCCTTTTCTACTAGCTACATAAGGCCACAGCAAGTAATTTGTATGGATAACATCAGCATGTGCATTGATTTTTGCCTGATTTTGGAGAAAAAAAAAGAATATTGTTGCCCTCTGACAGTGGTCACCATGCCTAAAATAGGCAAAGATGTCTGTTGCCATGCTGGAACGTGGATGGCAGATAGATGTGAAGAGGAGACAAGAAAAGGCTCTGATTTATTGTTTTGTCTTTTACTTTGATGCAGTGATGTATTTCATTCCTTTTATATGTGATTTTCCCACTGAATCAAAACCATTTGTACAATGATTGAAAACTTTTATTTTTCCGTGACAATGGATGTTGTAATAGTTGGCAGTAAACATAGCACAATATAGGTATCATTTCTTGTTTAACAAGGTTTATGATGTCAAAATTTCAAAATGTAGGAATCTTCTTTTTAACCCACCTTGTTTTCTTCCACCCTATCGCATTAGATTTGGAGTCTGCGGAGGATGTCATCCATAAAATTTACTTGCTATGGCCTAATACTGGCTTGCATTTTTAGCCAAGCACACAGATCTTGAGTCACCGTACTCTCAATGAATATGTTGCATCCGCAGAAGTTGGAAGCCTTAAGCTCCCTCATAGTCATACATGGGGTTGCTGGCTTTAGGTCCCCATCCAAAAGAACAAAAGCAACCCCTAACAGTTGTACCAAGCAGGGTTGGAACCTTGGCTCTCTGCATCCATGGAATTTGACTCATATGGCACATCAGTGGGGTGGCTTACTGCCTGCACCACAGGGACGTGGTCATCTTGGTCTGTTCATCATTTACTGACCTTGAAGGAGCTGTTGGTCACTGCCAATGACAGAATCACAACTGACAGGTAGTGCTGCATACCGGTTCACTGGACTTGGATCCGGACTTGTAAGAATGTTTAGGTTCAAGTAAAAAAAAAACTAAAAGTCAAGAACCGATTCCAGGCTTATGACCATGAAAGACCATTTCACACACCCCTTTTCTTTCCAAACCATGAGAGCTTTCTCCTGCTCTGAGTCAGTGAAGTATTGGAGCCAGTCCTTACAGAGGGCCTGCATGCCCTTTTCCGTGGAAGCGTAATCAGCCGTTTTAATTCCACGTAGCACGTAGATGGACCACTCTAATTCAACGTAGAGCGCAATAGGCGAATTCTGTGTAGAGCGTACTTTGCCGTTTTAATTCTACATAATGTGTTGTAGCTAGCCGGAATTTCTTGTAAAACATAATGGGGAGGCTTCCTGAATTCAGCGTAATACGTAGCCGGTTCTCAAAATTTAGCGTAGAGCGTTGTCAGGACCCCCCATGCAGGCCCTTCTTTCTAGCACTGATCGTTCTGTTAATCAAATGTCACTACCTGTTATCTTTAGACAGACTGAACCTTCCATAGTTTCAGCTGTCCCATCGTGCTGTCAATCAACTGTCCCTCCCTCTGTTTTCCTGGACAGATCCTCCTGCTGACCAAACTTCTGCTGTCTGATTCTCCTGTCAATCACCTCAGGCTTTCCTACTGTTTGTCTGTTCCTCCTGACTAAGGCCACATCAAGTAATTTTTATGGATGACATCAGCGCGCGCATTAATTTTCGCCTGACTTTGAAAAAAAAAAACAAGAAATTTTGTTGCCTTCTGACAGTGGTCAACATGCCGAAAATGGGCAAAGATGTCTGTTGCCATGCCGGAAGGTGGTTGGCAGATAACTATGAAGAGAGGAGACAAGAAAAGGCTCTGATTTAATGCTTTGTTTCTTACTTTGATGCAGTGATATGTGATGCTGGCTGTGTATATGTGATGTTCCCACTGAATCAAAGCCATTTTTTCAATGATTGAGTCAAAATTTTAAAATGTAGGACCCTTGTTCTTTTGGACCCATCTTGGATTTTAAGATTTGGAGTCTGCGGAGGATGTCATCCATAAACTTTACTTGCTGTGGCCTTACTGCTGTCTGATTCTCCTGTCAATCACCTCAGGCTTCCCGAGTGTTTGTCTGTTCCTCCTGACTAATCCACAGTCTTCCCTCTCCTGTTACTCCCTACATCTGTGCTCTAAAAACCACCTGCCAATCACTTGCCAAGCAGATTAGGGGGGGTTTGTAATGAGTTTGCTCCCTGTCAAAGAGGCCCTTCCCTAGTCTGTTATTCTTGAGCTGGTTCAGGGAGTAAGTCAACACCTAGGGTTCAACACATGCAGTTGTGTTGTGTTGTTTTGAGTTTTTGACAGTGCAACTATAGTTTAATGTTTTCTTTCTTTCTTTCCTTTCTTTCTGTCCTTTCTTTTTTTTCTTTCTTTTGTCACATCCTTGTACCACTTTTCTTGTCCCTCTTTCCCTGAATCTTCTGCTTCCCTTGTCTTCCTTTTCTTCTAAAATGATGTATAATGATAGTGGCCCGCATGCCCTTTTCCGTAGAGCGTAATCAGCCTTTTTAATTCTACATAGAGCGTAGACAGACCGCTCTAATTCAACGTAGAGCGTAATTGGCGCATTTTGCGTAGAGCGTATTTGCCGTTTTAATTCTACGTAATGCGTTGTAGCCACTTGAAATTTAATGTAAAGCGTAATTGAGAGTTTTCCTGAGTTCAGTGTAATACGTAGCCAGCTCTCAAAATTTAGCGTAGAGCGTTGTCGGGACCCCCCCCCCCCATGCAGGCCCCCAATGATGGGATCTGGGATTATCTCAAATGGACCCCCCTGGAGTAACACTAACAGAACCCTCAACTAACTACAGTAACTCACTCTTCACTACAGTACTAATCACCAGAATACTAACCATCTCAACCAACACACCAACTGATAATTTCCTCAACACTCACTACAGGTCATCTTGTACACAGTCTCTCTTAATTGAAACTGATCGTGACCCTTCAACATGTCTTAGTGCTGAAAGTCTTGTAGACCCAACAGGAAATCTGTACAGTCAGTCCTGCCCAAAAAATGGGTCACTCAGAAACCAAAGAAGCCCTCAGATGGAATTCCTCACAGTGCAGTCTGTGTAAATTTGGGGGGGTCGTGGGTCACCGGCCTGGCTGACCTTGATAAAGCGAGCTATGCCTGGTCAGCGGCCATTGCCCTGATTTAGAACGTGCACGGCATTTAAATCTAGTTAAGGTGACTTACAATTCACCAGTAAAAAACTATAAGACCATGATAAATTGGTTGAAAAATGAAAGAAGCCATCAAAAGTCTGGTTCAACACACGAGAATCTCATTTTCATCTGAAGGTGAAGAAATAATCTATCACTCTAAGAAACTGTTTAAACTAAGTTAAACAAAGGATCTTTTATGAGGGATTAACCCAGAGGAAGAAGAACTTGATTCTTGTTTCTCAATACAGTGTACAAAATACTTTTTTGAACCAGTTTGCCCAGTGGGCAACCTACGGCAAAAATTAGGTTGCCCATCAGAATTTTAGGTTGCCCCACCTGTAACTACTTTCCTCAAGTTAAGTAATGTTATATACATGTACATAAGCCTTTGACAATATTTCTAACAGCCTTTAGTTAATTAAAAAGCATCTGCCGGATACAGTGGTGCAAGCCAAGTGGGGCATGATTTGGGGGGTGGGGGCATTCTTATAATTCACATAGCACACTGGGCTACGTTCAGAAATAGGTTGCCCCAAGTAAAATTTGGTTGCCCGGGGCAACTGGGCAACCAGGTATTTTGCACACTGTCAATATTTCTTGCTTTTCTTGAAAACTTCTTGATTTCAGGCGTAGCCAGTGGAGGAGCTTAGTCAGAAGTTTCCCTGTTTCCTCATAAGTTCATTTCACATGTTGTTCACAGATGTTTTCTTTGCTTCTCTAAGCCCCAATGTTGTACACTACAGACTGAAGAATCTCACGCTTATCAGGTTCTGAGTTGTGGCGAACTTGAACCCCAGACTGTCAGCGGGAAAGTTTGTTTTGAGGACTGCAAGCTTCCTATCATTAGGGAAGGGTCTTCCCCGCTTGACTTACGAACAGTCGGAGGTTTGGGCTGATTGAAACACAGGCTGGGGCTGAACAATGGAAAGAGTCAGGAAAGTCTGCTGAGATGTTTTTGTGTTTTGACCCTATCAGAGTACAATCAAGTAGTGATAAACAGGACTGCTGACTGGGTGACTCTGTCATGCTTGCTTGACAGGGACTTTTGGAGAATCTGGGGTGAACTGATCAAGAACTGACTGGATGTAAGAAAGGGGGAGAATCTGTATATGAATCTTGACAGGTTTCAATCAATCAATCAATCAATCAATCAGTAAAGTCACTTGACATTGTTGTAGTGAAAGTAAGAGGATTCTATATTCTTCTACCAAACTGTTAACTTTCACAACGTCAGGGGAACTGAACAAATTCTAGACCATTGTAGCTAACTATAACTCATAAAGATCAAGGTGATTTGTAAAGAAAGTAGCATAAAATTGGGATATCATTTCATTCTGCATCTGTATGCAACCATTTCATTGTGAAGCTCAAAGTCAGAGATTGCTTGTAACATATTTTCTTCAAATGAAAGTCCTATTGTCTGTAAGAGACAGACCAAAGCCATCTGGAAGAAAACTTTCGGTAGTCTATCTTGGCAAAGTATGAGTTACTTTCCTCATATAACCAGGCCACAGCAGACAAGGTAAACAACAGGGGGGTGACAGTACATGACGGATGGACCTTCAGGGCCAAATTGATGGACTTGGCAGCAAAGTTTGGCAACCCTGTGCCTCCCTACCCTCCCTTCTAGAAGGGGGCCTGCATGGGGGGGGTCACGACAGCGCTCTACGCTAAATTTTGAGAGCTGGCAACGTATTACGCTGAATTCAGGAAACCTCTCGATTACGCTTTACGTTAAATTCCAAGTGGCTACAACGCATTATGTATAATTAGAACGGCGAATATGCTCTATGCAAAATGCACCAATTACGCTCTACGTTGAATTAGAGCGGTCCGTGTACACTCTACATAGAATTAAAACGGCTGATTACGCTCTACGCAAAATGCGGCAATTACGCTCTACGTTGAATTAGAGTGGTCCGTCTACGCTCTACGTAGAACTAAAACGGCTGATTATGCTCTACAGAAAAGGGCATGCGGGCCCCCCTAGATTGGTCCTGCAGAGATGCATTGCTAAAGATTTCATAAATGCGTTTGAAGTGTTTGCAGGTATACTGTAGAGTCAGAGGGGAGACGCTGGAAAACTTGTCTTGGACTCGATAAACAGATATGTCAAGTTTGGCACCACTTGGGCAAAGGATGACTACAGATGTGTGATATCATGTGAGAACATTCAAAGGTGATGATAGATTTAGAACAGACTGTACAGCCAAATCCGCTTGGGACTGGTTTCAGTTGAACTGGACTGGCTTCAATTCAAAACAGCCAAGCACTGGATAGTTTTGCTGCACTAGCTTGACAGGAAAACCTGCATGATTTCAACTCAACAGTACGTAGTTGTCAGTAAGAGTAAGGAATCGTTCAGATAATTTCCTAAGGAGAATCACAGTGCCAAGTCTGGAACTTGGGCAGAACAACAACTTAAACTTTCTTTTGGGGTCAATCTAACTTAAGATGCTAAATAACCCATCCTAAGGACTTTTGGGGTGTTCTTAAAGTATATGTTGTAGTAAATATGGACTTTGAATTTTTGTCACAAAGTGTCTTGTTGCAAGACCATAATTTATGCAAATTTTTACGATGTCACAATGACGTCATCAATAGTTATGAGGCCACACTCACAACACCTTCTACATATTTGCCAGTGTAGCATGACAGAATATAGCCCTTGTTAGGATATACCCGCCGGGTACATTCTTACCAGGGGTATAATCCGGCCCGTTACACCTGATAGCACCATTCTAGCAGCCAATAGTCTTAGATAGTGATACATTTGAAGTGTTGTCATTGATTTTTTGCAGAAGTTGACCTTACCGATGATCCTCTCTGTGATGTAGGTGAGGTCAAGGTCAAAGGAGTCATCCCCATATTGGCCGCGACCCCTGTGAGGACAAAAAGATTGATAATCATTATTCGAGAGTTACACCTGCACTCAAAAGAACACAGTTCAACTAACACACCGATCAAAATTCAACTACCCCTACTCCACATTTATACAGTCCAAGCTGAGTTTTCAGCTTATATGTAGGTGAAGGTTAGACATCCAGGTAATAAGATTTGCAAAAAAAAGTTACTCAAGCAACTGGATATGGCTCCCCCAGGAAATTTTGGATTTTGAAACCTTCAAAAATGCAATTTCGCACATTTTGAGAGGCAAATCATGATGATGAGAGTTGTTGTCGTTGGTCCTTTGGATGTTTTCATATTTTTACCCAATATTTTTGTTGAATTTGTCTGTCAAGGTTGACAGATTGGTTTTAAAAATTTCCGTCACACGCCGCAAAGTTCCGGTAATTGACGGAAAAACTGGTGCTGACTAAAGCCCTGATACTAGACAACCTTCTTAGGCCACACCAATTTAATTTACTGTTTCTAGGATTTTTACAGAAAAAATATGAGGTGACAGGGCGAAATAAAAACAGGCCATGATAGCTGGAAATGTTTCAATATGAGCCATGAAGTGAACACACCAGGCTGGTTTATAATGAAAACAATAGATTTTGAACTTTTAATGAAACAAAGTTGCACTGTTACATTGAAAACTTTAACAACTAGGAAGAAAATGACTTTCTTCAATTGTTGGGGCCAAAATATGTCTTTCATTGAGCATTTTGCAGTTGACTTAAAACATTTTTTTTTTTTTTGCAAATCAGAAAAAATGGACAGGGCGAATCTGAGAAACAACAAATTAAATTGGTGTGGCCTTATGATGAATAACCCTAGAATATTGGAATTGGGACCCTGCCACATGTTTTTCAGGTATCAGAAGAAGGTGACCATGGCTTGTTGACCCCAAAACACAACAGGAATCAGCAGAGAGAAGGGCAGTCACACATGGACACACAGGTATGCTACAATTAGGTAAAGCTGCTACCCCCTGTCCAACACTGGGTACAAGGACATACCTAAGGCCACAGCAAGTCATTTTTATGGTTTACATCAGCACACGCATTAATTTTTGCCTGATTTTGGAAAAAAAACAAGAAATTTTGTTGCCTTCTGACAGTGGTCAACATGCCGAAAATGGGCAAATATGTCTGTTGCCATGCCGGAACATGGATGGCAGATAACTATGAAGAGAGGAGACAAGAAAAGACTCTGATTTAATGTTTTGTTTTTTTACTTTGAAAGTTGGTTTTTGATGCAGTGATATGTGATGCTGGCTGTGTATATGTGATGTTCTCACTGAATCAAAACCATTTGTACAATTATTGAGTCAACATTTGAGAATGTAGGAACCTTGTTTTTTGGCCCGCCTTGTTTTTTTTCGCCCGCTCGTATTAGATTTGGAGTCTGCGGAGGATGTCATCCATAAAATTTGCTTGCTGTGGCCTAATTATAATAGATGCTTTGTTCAGAGAAAGGCATGTTTTTGGTTGAGAGCTTTTGCAAAATTGTATCGCTTTCAAATCAGAAGTTTTTGCTGTCTTTTTTAATATTACCTTTCTCTCTGAACTGGCAAAAATGAAAAATGCAATTATTGTTTTAACGTTCAAATGATCACAGAACATACAAAATAGTAGTAGGGAGTAAAACAATGATGAAAACTGAGAATCTAACACAGGTGCAAAATTCACTCAAATGTATCTTCTATGGTGTTCGTAAATTAGTTTCAATTCCGAAGGTAAAATTGGAATTTCTAGGCATGGGGGCTTCTGGTCATGCTCTAAATCTCCACATAGTTGCCTAATTGAATTATAATTCCAAAGCACAACTCCTTACGATTAGAAATTACTCGTTCTAATCAACTTCACAGGTGGGTGAACTGGTATGAGACACAATTTCCTGCCTTATTTCTTTTGTGTGGTCCCAGAGCAGCTGAGCTTGAGAAAGCTATCGATGCCCTGACCTGTGGAAAAGCCCCGGGAAACGATGCCATTCCACCAGAGGTAATCAAACAAGGGAAACCAGCACTCCTTCCGCATCTTCAAGAACTTCTCAGTCTATGTTGGAAGGAGGGCTCGGTGCCCCAGGACATGAGGGATGCAAATATTGTAACACTTTACAAAAACAAGGGTGACAGGAGTGTCTGCGACAACTATCGCGGCATCTCCCTCCTCAACATCGTCGGCAAGCTATTTGCCCGTGTTGTTCTGTCCAGATTGCAAGTGATAGCTGACCGTGTATATCCAGAGACTCAATGCGGCTTCAGAGCTGGGCGTTCCACCATCGATATGGTTTTCTCAGTGAGGCAATTGCAGGAAAAGTGCAGGGAGCAAAATCAACCCCTCTACCTGGCTTTTGTCGACCTCACCAAAGCCTTTGATCTGGTTAGCCGCAGTGGTCTGTTCAAGCTCCTTGAAAGGATTGGATGCCCACCAAAGCTACTTAGCATAATAAAGTCATTCCATGACAACATGAGGAGTACGGTCAGTTTCGATGGGAACATGTCAGAGCCATTCCCAATCCTCAGCGGGGTCAAACAGGGCTGTGTGCTCGCCCCAACGCTCTTTGGTATCTTCTTTTCTCTACTTCTGAGCTATGCCTTCCGATCCTCCAACGACGGTGTTTACATCCATACCCGTCACGATGGCAAGCTGTTCAACCTGGCCCGTCTACGAGCAAAAACAAAGACAATCCGTGTCCTTCTCAGGGAGCTTCTTTTCGCTGATGATGCAGCTTTGGCTAGCCACTCAGAACAAGGCCTGCAGCGTCTCCTGGATTGTTTTTCAAGCGCATGCCACGAGTTTCCTCACTAACCATCAGCATAAAGAAAACTGTGGTTATGGTCCAGAATGCTCCATGTCCCCCTCTTATAACAGTGAACGACTCCAGTCTTGCTGTAGTCGACAGGTTTACCTACCTTGGGTCGACGGTCACCCACAACCTGTCCCTTGACATAGAAATCAATACCAGAATTGGCAGAGCAGCTTCAGTAATGTCAAAACTCAAACATAGAGTATGGGAAAACAAGAATCTGTCCATACAAACAAAGCTTAGAGTGTACGAGGCCTGTGTCCTTGGCACTCTTCTTTACGGAAGCGAGACTTGGTCAACCTATGCGGTACAAGAAGCCAAACTTAATGCTTTCCACATGAGATGCTTACGTAGGATCCTGGGCATTACCTGGATGGACAGGGTTACAAACTCCGAGGTCCTCAGGAGGTCAAGATCCAGGACCATGTATGCGATTCTCAGTGAACGTCGTTTGAGATGGCTAGGCCATGTCCGCCGCATGGATCAAGACCGCATTCCAAAGGACTTACTGTACGGCCAGCTTGAGCGCGGAACTCGGAAAAAAGGCCGCCCTCATTTGCGATACAAGGACGTCTGTAAGAGGGACCTTAGGGCAGCACACATCGACTCCGAGTCCTGGGAGAACATCGCCCTTAACCGCACCCTGTGGAAATCCACTGTCAAAACAGGGGTGAAGAGGGCGGATGAGGATCGGGACAGACTGCGAAAGGAAAAGAAAGAAAAACAAAAGACGAGACCAGCTCAGCATACTTCAACATTTATCTGTGAGAGCTGCAACAGAGACTGTCACTCAAGGATCGGTCTATACAGCCACAGGAGAACCTGTTCAAGGAGGCGCGTGCCATCGTCTGCCCAGACGGAGGGAGGCCAATGATGATGGTCCCACAAGAGGGTCTGCATGCTCTTTTCCGTAAGGCGAAATCAGGCCTTTTTAGACTTCGTAATTCGTAGGCAGCCTCCAAAAAAATCAACGTAATTCGTAATAGGACATTAGCCACAAATTGTAAAGTCGTAATCAGCTCTGAGACTTTAACATAATTCTTAATTGGCGGCGAAAATTTTGCGTAATTCATAATCGATCACTACCCCCCCATGCAGGCCCTCCCACAGCAGTCAACTGATTTTCTTTTTAACATTGACGAATTTTAACCACTTCTTTTTCTCCTAAGCAGTGATCTAGGCAGATGTGGATTTTGGCATCAACTGTAGTTTTTTTGTCTGAACGTCAAACTTGCCTCAGAACTTCAAAGCAGCTTGTATGGTATCATATCACTGTAAGACTATAATTACTTGCACACCGATTCAGACAGCGGACACTCTCCAACAAACTAATTACTACTTCAAATCCCAAGAGGGGGAACAACACAGATATTCTTCAACCCATTTTATGTTACTATTTCTTCACATTGTAACTTTTCTTAAAGGTATCTTCATGATATCGACACATGCTGCTTCACATTGAAATTTAGCACATTTAAATCAGTATTTCATACTTTGGGAATTTAAAACTGAAAAAACAAGCCCCAAGATGAGTCCTTTATTTTCTGGGTGGTACACGTGCCCTAAAAATCAGCCCAGGGCCCTTCCTGTAACCATTTTCCGTCAGAATATTTGCTCCATGAGGGTAAATATACATTGGGATAGTGTGGTTTCAACTCAGTATGTAGATAAATGACTAGAATGTTGGCTTTGAAATTGGGTTTTCAAGCCCTAAAAACTGCAATGGATGCCTTTAAAACCTATGCATTTCTTCTGAACAATTTTCGGTTGAACCCCTTGAACATGGAATAACCCTCAGTAAGATGTATCCTTCGGTTTGGGATCAGCTGCTACGACAGACAAGTTTAAGTACAAGTCCATTCCCACGACCCTACTGTCCCTAGTCCACGGAACTCCGCAGATCCGAAATCCATGAAACTCATCAGGCTGGCCCAGGTGAACTTGTAACTAACGATTAGACACACTACATCTTGTCTGGGGATGATCCCAATGGCCAGAGGGTCTCACATGTTAAACTCTGAGAGCCGTGGCAGGTTTAGAGTCTGTGTCCAATCAGTAGGTGTGTAAATCCTCTTTGTGCAAGCCAGCCTGAATTTTTTTTCAGTCATCTCAATTTTGTTAGCCTCCGTAGCAGGCTTATAGAACTGGGGGTTTGGTGGTCTTTGGCTCTTTTCTGATTAGCCCAGTTCTAAAAACAGGGATAATGCAACCAGGCCGGCTATGTTGTCTATATGCAATCAGAAAATAGCACATGAAAGCTCCCAAAGACCCTGATTCAAGACCCCCAAAACCCCCAGTTTTTGGCATGCTATGGAGGCTACAATTTTGTCATGTCAAGTCGAGTAACAATTCTATTGGCATCCAGGGGCATGCTCCCCAATGAAAATTTTGAAATTGGGACCCTTTAAACAGCTATTTCCTACATTGTGAGGAGAAAATCTTGCTGTTAGACGAATTACAAATCCGCTTAATTCAATGTCATCTCATTCCATACCTTTACACACTGATTTTTGTCCATCAAAGATGACAGATTGGGTAAAATTTTTGTCTGCCACGAATGGCAAAATTCCATCAAATGACGGATGGAAAGACAGACACTGACTAGAACACTAGTACAGTCTGATTGTGCATTTCTTCTTATCACTTGTAAAAGTACATTTGAATCATATTAGTAATAAATACTTTTTCATCTACAACATTTTGTTTGAAAAAAAAATTTGAGCAAAAATTGCACATTTAAGTAAAAATTTCCTACAGTAGAGAACTGGAATCCCCCTTGCTAACCCCCCTAAATAAAAATTTCCTACAATAGAGAACTGGAAACCCCCTTGCTAACCCTCCAATTGCTAACCACTACCGTGAAGTTTAATGAGTGTAGTTAGTGGCTCAGATTCTTCAGGGGCTAAATAGTTGACACAGTATAGAATCGGTTGGTCACAGTTTCTGATGCTTTTTCACTGGGCTTGTACCACTAAATGTGTGGCATGTGTCAAGCTGGACATACTGTACATGTACTACAACATACTGACCAAAATATTCCTAGGCTATTAGCCTCCATAGCATGCCAAAAACTGGGGGTTTGGGGGTCTTCAAGGTCTTTGGGAGCTATTATGTGCTATTTTCTGATTGCATATAGACAACATAGCCGGCCTGGTTGAATTACCCCCGTTTTTAGAACTGGGCTAATCAGAAAACAGCCGAAGACCACCAAACCCCCAGTTCTATAAGCCTGCTACGGAGGCTACTAGGCTATAGACTTTTGTTATTAATGTTAAAAAACAAAGAACTCGAATTAAATGATATGTGCAGTATCTATTATATTATATTAGAGATTATTATATTGTATCTACTATATTTGAGACTACAGTCTACACAATTTTACTCTGTACATAATTAAGCTACACAGGAATTTCGGTACATGTGAACTAATAAAGGACTTACTTGGTTGGCCCCTTGTGGCGAACATGTGAGGACATCATGGTTTTTGAAGTTGTTGGTGGTTGCTGAAAATAGATAAAAGAAAGGTTAACAACACTTGACACTTGACACAAGAAATAAAAGTCCAGACTTCTGAAGATATACCAAATGCTATCAATTACTAACAATATATAATGGTTCTGGAAGAAAGAAGCACTGACATTGCCTTGTACTGTGTAGTGATCAAAAACACCCTCTAGCACTTAAAGTAAGACATTGACTCTACTACTTTCCAAGTAGAGGTTTGAGGAGGGAAACTGTTACTCTCTTGTGATTGGCTCCCATTTTGAAACAGCTGATCCAATCAACTATCAGTACCAATCAGAAGAAGGCAGCGATCTCTCTACTTGGGATGAAGTGACTCGTCCATAAAAAGACTGCTTTTGCTACATGTACTGTACCTACATGTTGTCGTAATTTTACTCTTGCAGAACTACATGTACTTATGATAGGTATTGCACTTTGATGCAAAGGTGGCAAATGGTCTTACATAAAGCATAAAGGCCAGCAGAATAAATGGAACACTTACAGCTAATGCAGTGTTATGTAAGAGAGACTATAAAAAGACCACATACAGACTGTCTGTTGACTGTTAAATACTGTGTCTTTCTGATCACTAATCTTTCACACAGTTAGACAGATTAGCCTAAGAGGCTCGGCAGGCATCACTCCACCATACAAGAACTGTGTGCCAAAAAATCACTACGAATTTGGTGCGCCTATGTGCCAACATATTTGCCGAGAGCCGTTAGGCTACAGCAAGTAATTTTTATGGATGACATAAGCACGCACCTTAACTTTTGCCTGATTTTGGAGAAAAAAATAAGAAATTTTGTTGCCTTCTGACAGTTGTAAACATGCTGAAAATGGGCAAGATGTCTGTTGCCATGCCGGAAGGTGGATGGCAGATAACTATGAAGAGAGGAGACAAGAAAAGTCTCTAATTTAATATTTTGTTTCTTACTTTGATGCAGTGGTATGTGATGGTGGCTGTGTATATGTGGTGTTCCCACTGAATCAAAACCATTTGTACAATGATTGAGTCAAAATTTTAAAATGTAGGAACCTTATTTTTTTTGGACCGCCTTGTTTTTTTTTCCCCACTTGCATTAAATTTGGAGTTGTGGAGGATGTCATCCATGAAATTTACTTGCTGTGGCCTTAAAAAAACTCTTTCACAACCAAGGAAAAGCTTCCAAACAATGCACCAACCAGCGGGCAGTGAAGGCCTCCTTATCTTTACATCACAAAGCACAAGGTTTTGAAAATACCATCTCAAACTTTAGGCCACACCAATTTAATTTCTTGGTTAACGGATTTTTCTAGAAAAATAATGGAGCGGGCGGGCGAAAAAAAATAAAAATAAAAACAGGCCTGGGCATCCTATTATGGCCCAAAATGGTACCATAGGAGCCATGAAGTCAACACACCAGGCTGGTTCAAAATTTAAACCATGAATTTTGAACTTTTAATGATACTACTGCATTGAAAGATGGAATGACTGTAACAAGTAGTAAGAAAAGGACTGTTTTCAACTGTTCAGGGCAAAATATGAGCATTTTGCAGTTGATTCTGAATTTTTATTTTTATTTGCAAATCAGAAAAAAATGAAGCGGCGAATCCGTTAACCAAGAAATTAAATTGGTGTGGCCTTAACGTAAACATGAAAGATTTGAATTCTTGAACTCCACTTTGAAGTGTAGGAATCAGTACCCATTTCTGGTGTAAAAAAAAAGATTTATATGCCATTTATTCTTTATGACAAAATAGAGAGCCTGCCTTAGTGGCTAAAAATCGCATAAAAATGTACAAAAGGAGGGCCGCAAGCCCTTTTCCGTAGAGCGTAATCAGCCGTTTTAATTCTACGTAGACGGACCGCTCTAATTCAACATAAAGCGTAATTGGCATATTTTTGTGTAGAGCATTTTTGCCATTTTAATTCTACATAATGCGTTGTAGCTACTCGGAATTCACCATAAAACATAATAGAAAAGCTTCTTGAATTAAGCATAATACGTAGCCAGCTCTCAAAATTTAACGTAGAGCGTTGTCAGGACCCCCCATGCAAGCCCTCACAAAACAAGCTCAGTATGAGCTATCTTGCAGGACACAGACATTGTGGAAACTTGGATTTTGCCACCATCAACAGGATTCATTTCCACACATAAACCAGCTCAGGTGTCTTCAACATCCTCTGAAGATTTGGAGAGACGTGCCTTGACTGACACGCCCTGGTTTTGGCCTCAGAGGGGGCCCCCCCGCATGCCCTTTTCCGTAGAGCGTAATCGCTGCCGTTTTTATTCAATGTAGAACATAATTGGCACATTTTGCGTAAACGAATTCGCCGTTTTAATTCTACGTAATTCATTGTAGCCACTTGGAATTTATCGTAAAGCATAATCGAGAGGTTTCCGAATTCAGCGTAGAGCGTTGTCGGGATCCCCCCATGCAGGCCCCCTCAGAACACCGACCATTAGGCCTGCCAAACTGGGGCAAGTTTGGTGGCAAACGGTCACTACAGGTCAAGGTACAGGAGATAACATTCCTGGGACAAACAACTTTGACAGAAAAGAGCTGACATCCTCTTAGAAAGATACTGTAAAGTCATTTATTTTCACTGGGATTTAATTTTGCAGTAGGTAGAAGGGGAAAGGAACTTTTCACACTGTTTTAACCTAAGTTCAAAGCACTGTAATTCACTTAACACACACTGTATGTTCAAAATTTCACGGTCTGAGAAAAATGGACATGTTCACAGAACTATATACATTCACGATGGCGTCAGGTGCAGGAAAAAGAAAGTCCAGGAATTATTTGTTAACTGTAATGATAAGTTCACGGTAAAGAAGTGACAGTGAAAAAATCAGGAATTACAGTATTATGATTTCATTAGCAATGCAAAAACCGTGAATATTTACAGTAGTACTGTCATCAAACATCTAAACCCTCAGTCTCTCAATGATAGATGCTTTTTTTGTTACAAAATGAGTGATTGGCACATTCTAATACCTTGACAAATTAGCAACTTAGATTTCTATCCCTAACCCCTCCATATCAAATATACTGTTTACATGTTCTAATATTTAGGCTCTAGATGATAGACCTATGACCTATGATAGACCCTTTTTTTTACAAAATATGATAATGTGATTGGCAATTTCTTATATCTTTGACAAATTAGCTACCTAGATTTCTATCCCTAATCCCTCCATATCAAATATACTGATCTAATATTTAGGCTCTAGATGATCCTAGGATTACAAAAGATAAAAGCAGCTGAATGTAGGGGATTAGGACACACTTCTACTACCAATGGATTGTTTCCCCAAGCCCCCTTTGATGTGTGCTTCCAGAAATGAGGGCCTGCATGCCCTTTTTCATAAGGCGTAATCAGGCCTTTTTAGACTTCGTAATTCATAGGCGGCCTCCGCAAAAATCACCGTAATTCGTAATAGGACATTAGCCGCGAATCGTAAAGTCGTAATCAGCTCTGAGACGTTAACGTAATTCGTAATCGGCATCGAAAATTTTGCGTTATTCGTAATCACTACCCCCCATGCAGACCCTCAGAAATCTTACCCTTTACCCCAATCCCTGACGTCCTGCCATTAGCAATTATCTCCCCATGGGAGATGTTGGGGAGAGTATGATGTGACTTTGGTAAATAAATCAGCTTTGAGGCTCCTCTTACTGTGGAGACCATCTTGTTGACATGGCCCATTTTCTCTTACATGTCAGGAAGGAGTGTCCAGGTCATATGACACCTAGGGACACACTTACCTGTACCTGTACATTACATATGTACATTGTAGCATCTCGAATGAATGAATAGTGAATAGCACTTTGGCAAAACATTTTGTTCAAGGTTGTATTTGTGATTGTCAGACAGTCTGTCTATATTTTTCAAATGTTGTGTAAGAAAAGATATTGTCTGTAGTGAGCAAAATTCTTATGCAATGTTCACCAAATATCCAACAAAAAACAAGAAAAATCCAGGTTTGGGACTTTCACAGAACATGTTGTTTAAGGTTAATTGTACTTGTGATTTAAAGATGACAGCCCGTTTTCAGTTTAAAAATGTTGTGTATTTAAATTCTGATGCAATGTTGACCAAACATCCAACAAAAAACATAAATAGTCCAGGTTTTGCACAGACATCACAGTCAAGCATTCATGATAAAGATTTTCAACTTCATGTATTAGCAGACAGTTCAGAATGCATATCTACATCTGTTTTAAACATGATGTATATCAGTAATTTTTTTCCCTGCACACCTAGACCTACAATGTACATGGGTTTCTTCATTAAGTCACACCATTTTAATTTGTTGGTCCTCAAATTTTTTCCAAAGATTTTTTTTTTTAAATTAGAAGATTGGTGTGACCCAAGTAATGTAAGGGGGAAGGAAAATTTCATTACAGTGCAAATATTCTTCAGACTCATTTATCTTGTGATAAAAGTGTTTAATCTGCTACCTACTTAAAGTTTCAAGGAGTCTGTGACACAAAGATTAAAGATTAGATCAGCATCACAAATGCATTATCAGGGGAAATGAGTCCAGGGATAGTGTGTTACATGCATATGTGTAGGTGTACTAGCTGGGGGAATTCCACACTTCCCTATATATAAGCATTGGTGGTGTTCTTGAGCCAGAAATAGATTCTGTGTACTTAGCGTTTTCATGGTAAATTAGGTGAGTCAAAGGCTAGTTTCCACACGACTGCACTTGACCCTAAACTAGGACCAAGTTTGGTGGCATATTGAATTTACAGGGCTCAAAATAGCACTCGCAAATATACTAGGTTATTGTGTTGCATTGACTGCTTTGGCCTCAAATAATTAACTCCAAAATGTGAAGATTTTAAGCTCTTTTTCACTTTTTTCAACTGACTCATATGCTTGAAATCTTCCACTGACAGTTGGTATTCCAACCAAGTAAAAAGCTGAGAAAAATCAAAGATAAATACAGAAAGAATAGTGGTACTGGTGCAAAAAGCTATCTGATGCGGGCAATCTCGAATGACACCTGTATACACAGTGAGGCCATTGGAAATTACTACTATATATGATTCAGAATACAATCTAGGCTTGTGAAAATATACACAGAGCACTCACCGCTTTTGAAGAATGCTGTCTTGCGAGGCCTTCATTGCTCGGCTGTGGAACAGAAAACACCACCGCATTAGGATGTTTTGACATAACATCAAGGAAGGGCATCACTCAGCATTTAAGAAAACAACATGGTGACCTTCCAGTGCCTTTCTGATGAATACACAGACACACTTGGAGGACAGTGATTCTCCACTTTTGACCTACTCAAGCTATCTAAACATTTCAAATCGTAGTCAACAATTAAGATGAAAAATAGTCAGAAAGTTTAAGCTTGTTCCAACACAAGGAAAGAACTCACCGTAAATTTTTGGTTGATCGCATCAATTTATGGTGAGTTCTTTCCTTGTGTTGGAACAAGCTTAAACTTTCTGACTATGGATTCTACCAACACAGATGAGCTTTCAATCGAAGATGAAAAACGTTAACTTTTACTGATATATTTTGCTGGCTCAAAACTGAATTTGCATTATGTACTAAAGTGACTTTTTAAAAATAATGCATCTAAAGATGGATTGATTGGTTGGTTTCCAAAGTCATTAATGTATACACAAGAAATTTGAATCCACAAAACAAGTTCTGTATAGGTATACTGTAATTCCTGATTTTTTCACTGTACTGTTATGTTCACTGTTTTCACTGTCACTTCTGTACTGTGAACTTATCATTACAGTTAACAAATAATTCCTGGACTTTCTTTTTCCTGCACATGTCGCCACCATGAATATACACATGTAGTTCCATGAACATGTCCATTTTTCTCAGACCGTGAACTTTTGCTACCGTGAACATAAAAGTGAATTACAGTAACATATAACATCTGTGTCCATAATATCACCAGGGTCCATAATATCGCCACCTTGAGAAACAGTGTGCTTAAAGATATTTTTACTGCAACATACTTTTGGTATGCACTCCTTCACACATCAATGTACATAACTAGGGTATGTTGCAGTAAAAACACTGTTTCTCAAGGTGGCGATATTATGGACTATGGGGATATTATGGACACAGATGTTATAATTACAGTCTTTATACATGAGAGAGAGAGCCTTTCACCATTGTCAGAAGCCATAAGGGCTTCCTTGTTTGAAGGAAAAGCAACAGTTGCTGTTGGTAGTGGTGGCAGGAATTTGACAGGAGTTATCAGGGTGGGAGGGGGGCTGTTTGTGAGATTGCAGGAAGGCCATGGGAGGGAGTGACATTGGCACATTCCAGCCTGCCCAAACTTGAAGAAATAAACTTGAACTGGTGCCACGGTGTCTGCTGATAGTCGGCACCTGCTGGTTGGGCTGCCAGGGACTGTTCATTATAGATGGGGGAGGGAGTCTAGGTGATAGTCTATCTCTAAGCAACTGGGGCTGATCATTATAGATGGGGGAGGGTGTCTAGGTGATACTCTAACTCTAAGCAACTGGGGACTGATCATTATAGATGGGGAGGGTGTCTAGGTGATACTCTAACTCTAAGCAACTGGGGACTGATCATTATAGATGGGGAGGGAGTCTAGGTGATACTCTAACTCTAAGCAGCTGGGGGCTGATCATTATAGATGAATGGGCAGTGTAGGAGATAGTCTATATAGCCTCTACTTTAGTATAATTCAACCTCTTACAAAATGTAGAATTACTAACATGTTCTGAAATATGTTTCAAGTTAAAACTTTTGGTCCGACACAAAAAAAAGTTCTCACCTAGAGCTTTCGACCAGATTTTTGTGTTGGACCAACAGCTTTAACTTGAAACCAAGGACATTATACACAGATATACATGTAGTGTATAATGTCCTTGTTTAAACGTATTTCAGAACATGTAACTTAGTCATTTATGTAACTACCAACACAGATGAACTTTCATGATAGTATGTTCTGAAATAGCATAAGGTACCAAGGGCATATTTTATTATGGATGTATTGAACTTTTCAGTTCATCTTTATCATCTTACAACATCATAGATCAAAATCCTACTCCAAAAACAGTACGCACAGATGGGAGAATTATATCTCTCTAACCCACCTGCCATTATGAGATTAAGAGATCTCATACCACAATCCTTTTGTTTGAATTCTTTTTTATGCAAAGAAAAGTAGAAACATTATCTACTTCTCTTACCATTATCCTTATTACACACCTTTTGAATGTTCACACACCTTTAACATTACATGTATACGTTTTATTATATCTATACATGGTAAGGCCACACCAATTTGATTTTTTGGTTCTCAGATTTTTTGAAAATATGGTTAACTGGAAAAACCTATGAAAGCAAAGTCTGAGGACCTGGTTGATGCCATGGTGGACTCAGTGTTATGTAGTAAATACAGTGACATATTTAAGTTTTCTTCCTAGCCCTCTCATTTTATGATGTTTTATGCTTGCTACATGTATCTTTTTAACTAAAATGTCTGAGAACCAACAAAATGAATTGGTGTGGCCTAAACTGTATTGCACCTACATGTAATTAACTTCTTGCAATTGCTATCCATGTACATGTACAATGTACATGTATGAAGCTACCTGGTCTCTTTCCAGGACATGTATCTGATAGGGAGCACAAAGTACAGATGTATACCAGGCTAAAATCTAGGCTGAAACTGAAATCCTAGAGCCTCCTTGAAGGACCCTTCAACAGTTTAAATGATGACTTGCCCTACTTGACCTTTACCCACCCCAGGTGAGAGCTTGTAAGTGTTTGACAATCAGAGGAAACACTGACACAAAAACTATGCATACAGCATGCAGAGTACATGACCATAGCCCAGATTTTGAATGGGGGGTTCTTCCCACTGTTTGAGGGAACAGCGAGCGCCGAAGGCACGAGGTTCCTATAGGGGGGTCCGGGGGCATGCACCCCCGGGAAATCTTGAAAAATGAACCTTTTGAAATCACAGCATTTCCTGTGTTTTTAAGAGGATTTCAAAGAAAAAATCAGAGATAATTTTTTTCAGTGACAAAGTGAGCCATTTTCCTACGATTTCAGCCCCGCTGGTGACACAAATCAGTCCATCTTACGGAAAAATCTTGGACCTTTAGATAAAAAGTGGACCAAAAAGTGGACCTTTCAGCCTTGTGGGGGGGTTCGTCCAAACTCCCCGACCCCCCCCCTGGCTACGGGCATGAAAACCTACCCTTGCTGATAAGCTATCAACACTTATTCTTTTCTTCTCTACTTTTGCCATGGGCAGCTGGAAAACCGTGATTCAAAACAAGAATGCTTTGCCAGCTTGTCAGAAGTGTCACGACTCTATGTATACTTCTGCTGCAGGCGGGTTACTCACTTGAATGCTGACCAAGACTATGACACCCACTTAAAGCTATTTCATAAACAGTACATTAGGGGAGACCGCACGATGCTATCGCTAAGCCCAACTTTGTAGAACCCGTGGAATTTGCAAGGAACAGCTCAAGCATTCTCCAACCACAAACATTCTCAACTGCCAAGAACATGTCTAACTTTGTTTCCATAATGTATGATTTTTGGCACCACTCAAGAAGCATCTTTTTGTACCTTTTTCTTACATCTAGGCATGAAAATATCTGCTTGCGATAAAACTACATGTAAAATGGGACCCTAAACATAACCATTGTCCCAACTCCTTTGCAGTTGTACATGTATATGGAGGAACATGTCTAACTTTGTTTCCTTATAATGTATGATTTTTGGCACCACTCGTGATAGCATCTTTTTGTACCTTTTTCTAACATTTAGGCAAGAAAACATTTCCTTGCAATAAAACTAAATGTAAAATGGGACCCTAAACATTGTCCCAACTCCTTTGCAGTTGTACACGTATATGGAGGAACATATCTAACTTTGTTTCCTTATAATGTATGATTTTTGGCACCAGTCAAGAAGCATCTTGTACCTTTTTCTTACATCTAGCCATGAAAATATCTGCTTGCAATAAAACTAAATGTAAAATGGACCCTAAACATGACACTGCCTTGCTGTTGTACATGTATAAGGAGGACAACAAAACTTCACTTCTTACATGATCTGTCACTCATCCATTTAGCCTACATTTAGCCTAAAAGGTTAGAAAAACTCACCATTTTTGCTGTACAAAAACTAAATGTAAAATGGGACCCTAAACATGACACTGCCTTGCTGTTGTACATGTACATGTATAAGGAGGACAACAAAACTTCACTTCTTACATGATTACACAAGAGGAACAAAGCAGTGCTTGTATTCAAGGCTCTGAATGGCTTGTCCCCTCCTCACATCTCGGATCTCTTCACACAGCTCAGGGAAGTTCACTCATACAATACACGCTTAAGAGCACAGGGGGGACTACAACTGCCTAAGGCTCATCTACAATACAAAAAGAAATCCTTGTCCAGTACTGGTGCAGCTCTTTGGAACGCTCTCCCATCTACATTGAAAACAGCAGCTTCCGTCGCCTCGTTTAAGCGTTTGTATAACCAGAATGTTCTCGCAACATAGTAACCGTTACTTTTGTTTTGTAACATTGATATGCAAATTTCCATTACCTTCTTTATTTATTTCATTTGTTGCATTTTATTCGCTTGTTTCATATAAGTTATTAGTTTACCGTATGATTTTGAAGCACTTTACCAATATGTTATTTTTTGCAATTAAGCTAATTGTACCTTTGTTTTCCTGTTTGTTATTTTAAGCTAATAAGTATATTTTGTAAATGTATATGTCCGCAGGGAACATTGAAAAACGCCCTTGCGGCGACATGTTTACCCTGGGTAAATAAATAAAAATGAAAATGAAATGAAATCTGTCACTCATGCATTTAGCCTAACATTTAGCCTAAAAGGTTATAAAAACTCACCATTTTTGCTGTACAAAAACTAAATGTAAAATGGGACCCTAAACATGCAACTCCTTTGCTGTTGTACATGTACATGTACAAGGAGGACAACAAAACTTCACTTTTAACATGATCCGCCACTCATCCATTTAATGTACTAGACTTAAAAGGTTAGAAAAACTCACCATTTTTGCTGTACTTGCGACAAGCTTGCCTTACAGTTGACCCGTGTATTTACCACGCTTATTTTTAGCTGTTTCCGAGC